GCCACAAGCTTACTCGGGTGGGATTCGAACCCACGACCTCGAATCTTGACTCTCCAAATGCCACCGGACTACGTCAAAGGTCAGATATTTGGCCGGAAACTGCATGAATCCAACTTTCTGAATCCATTTTTCTGAAAGATTGTTCTGTCCGTTTCTTTGGACCATCCCAGGCTTTGTCCCTCTGAACGATTGTGGGGCAGACGAGCTGATTCCTCCCTGCTGGGCACTGGACGTCACCTGTGGGGCAGCCACCAACATCAGCTATGGTCCTTGGGCAGACAGGCAGAGGTAACAAGTCAAAGCCTTTCACAATTCAGTGTCCCACCAGCAATATACCCAGGAAAGACTACACACTTTTTAACTTCCCAGGCAGCCCAACTTTGTTGAAACCTGGCATGCATACTTGGTGTGCATGTAAAGACATTCCTTATCATTACAAATGTGAAGTTTGAACTCAGTCAGACGTATGGTTTTGCTGTTACGGTCATTTGAAGTTCAAGGCTACACGTGTGCCAGCTTACATGCATTGAGAGCCGCAGTGGAAAAGTTTACATTTTGTCTGACCTGTCACAGAAAAAAAATGGGCGCTGTACAAGACTGCTACATATATGTTCAATTTCACAAAATTGGTGTCGTAATGACTGCTTGGAGTTACTCTATAAATTCCTGTAGGCTCAAATGGGGACAAATGTCAAGAGGGGTTGAATTCCCCCCCCCCGGCTCTTTCAGGGTTATTGTGATATCTTCACTTTGTTCTTCAGTGAAAATTAAGCCCCACTGGATAATTTGTAGATGGTGGTAATTATTTCCACAAGTCTGGACAAATAAGCCAAGGTTTCTGTGCGTTTGTGGTTGAAAACTTTGTTTAAATGGCATATTTTAATAAAAATGGAATATTTTGTGGTAATTTTTATGAATTGGTGTCATCTTAGATAAGGTTCCAGAAAGAGTTCTGTACACGGTCATCACTTGGCACCCTGCGAACAACCCCCATGAGACGAGTCTGAAACTTCCTAAGAAAACGCTCCAATATTTTCACTGCTAAATTTGACTTCCTGGGACATGCCGTTTTTTTCTGATGGCAGATTTACCTCTCCAGAGAGAAACGAGTGATAACCAGAAAACCAAACTATGGTTTTCAAACAATTAAAAATGAAGGGTCGATAAAGAAAAAATAGAAATGTTTGGAAAGGACTTCTCCATTTGTCTCTTTACTTGCAGAGATGCCCTGCACAAGTTCTTCTTCCCGCAAGCCTACAAGACCCACGAGGTAACACCCAAAGCCAGGCCGGGCCAGAAACGACAGTTCACCAGCTTTGAGTTTCGGCTGAACACTGTGGCTGAGGCCACCATCGACATCCTCTTCAGCAAAGACAAGGTGTGATACATGTACCTTTTAGTAATAAACCAATCCAAGGACACACCCACCCACGCTTACTTTACATACCATTTGTGGACATTCCTTTTTTTTCATGCAAAAACTTAGTGAAAATACTTGTTTTTCTTGAACTGGGAACACGATTTTCAGCCGGTTTTTTGTACAAGGTTTCCTTGACTATTCCTCTTCCTTTTACGACGGATGACCCCTACCCCAAAATGCCTCTAAACTCCTTTTTCAGAGAAGGGGAAACGTCCTGTGGACATGTGTAAGTCCACAGAACATCTGCCCTTCCTGCATCGTGTGGACATCTTTTGTTCATAAGTCCACACTAGGTGTGTAAGGTTGTCGCACACGCTGTTGGGTGTGTAATAGACGCTTAATACTTGCAAATGAGCATCTATGATATCTGTGTGCCCTTACCTCCTCTTGATTCCCCAATTTCGACCATTCAGCAGCCGTGTGTTACATGGGTCTCCGGCAGCAAGCTCAATGATGTCATGGAAAGAATAGGGCTTAGACAACGTGTGTGTTTATTCACATGACTGGTGAGGCTTATTCATGTGTAGTTGGGCTGGAGTCGATTCGTCTAGGCTTTCGAGTGTGTGCACTGTATCGCTGTCTCCTAAACGAGAAAGCTTATTTCCCAAGTCTGAATCACTCACAGGCATACTTTCCATGAGGTTGAATAAACCTGTCAGCTGATATGGTCAGCTAACAGAGTATGGTCATCTGACACTTATCAACCAATCAACTGCCTCCTGCAGATTTCTGCACAAATTGATGTTGCAGTTTCTAAAGTCGACTCAAAGAGCGTGTTCGAAATGAGTGGATTCGGCTGAGACATCGGTTTGGCTGGTTCCAGTCAGAGCTTGAACATGTGGTTTTGAATGCTGTTTCAAAATGGCTGGAACCAGCGAAACTAAAGTTTAAGCCGAATCCACTCGTTTTTGAAAATGCTCTAACTGGCTTGCGGGTGGGATTACAGAAAATTTGCCCGCTCACATCAGACGTTGTCTCCAAGCCATAGACTCTGTTGAACAACGGATGACACTCAGTCTGATTCAAGATGGAGATTTGTTTCGTCAGAATAATGGAAAGTTTATTGAGTAGGTTTCCTGATGCGTTTGTGTTTGTATTGTTTCACTCATCAACACAGAAGAATGGCTAATTATTTTTTGCAAGACAGTCTTCACATGCTAGATGTCAACTGTTCAGTTAAAAGTGGCCATTTGGGGGCATATGCTTGGCTTTGTACTGTCGGTGCTTTCCCATATATTGTTGGGATAAAAATGGGCCAAATCCAATTTTGAAGCCTATGTCAGCGGAGACGTTTTCCTCATTTTTGTGTTCTTCAAATTGTCACTTCAGGAAACGAACGCTTTCCACATCGATGTGGACAAGGCGTCCTACGTGGAGGTCAGCATTCCACTGCTGATAGGGCCCGAGGGTTACCACACCAGGGTTACAGGTCAACTGCTGCATGTAGACTCATCCACCAGCATGGAGTATCGCTCACTCATTGAAAGTGAGACATTGCAGGTAAGATTCTACGGATGAAACAACCCTGAACAACCCTTACCTCCATGGGGAAAGTTGCATTACAGGCTTAATTTGATGCAAGTTTCGTAGGAATTTATTTTATAGATGGTTTGTACTTCTCACAAATTTCAACACCGAGGCTGACTTCACAAAATGGGGCGTAACTTTGAACCACGTGTAAGCCTTAAGCTACAGCCGGCATAACTGCACAATGTACTGTATTTTTCGCTCATTACTTTTTTGTGTGTGCTGCACCTCGTCTTTGCAACAATCTACCGGCATGGTTACGATCTTCCCCTTCTCTCCTGCAGTTTAAGAAGGATCTGAAGACTCATCATTTCAAATGAGGCATTTAATTAATTTCTTTGTACTAGTGCCTTAAGCACCTTGGTGGATCTGTGTGCTCTGTAAATTGTCATTATTATTATTATCATACGGTAAATTTCATGAAACGTTGGTCAACTGTGCAGTGTCATGACCCTAACAGTCCTCAATCCTTCACCTGTTGGAGGACTGAGGACTGTTAGGGTTAATTATATTAGACGTCTTGGACAAGGACCAGTCACGGCTTAAATGATTGCTCTTGTTGAATATTATGCACAGCAGGTCATCAAACAGCAGGTGAATTAGGGCCGGCGACCATTTAGACCCGCTTTGAAAAGGGTCCCCCCCCCGGTAAGCTCGCCCTGTTGCAAAAACCCCTTTCATACCGGCCTGGCTACCGGCCTGGGATGCTGGAGTGGTTGTTGATCTCGAACTTCTCCATCCAGGGGTCTATTGTTTGCAAGTACTGGTACATGTATTCTATCCCAGAAGGAACCTGCTTGTGGTTTTAATCCTTCAGCTCTATACAATATTTACACTAATCCGCTTAGACCCCTATTCATCTGTGGAAGCATGGTGGGGGAAGCCTTTCATCAGGGACTTTGAAATGCCGATGTGCAGACAGGCCTGATACCGGCCTGGAGTAGCCTGAATACCGGGCAGGCATTGTAGAGGGCGGGCTACCGGGGGGCCCTTTTCAAACCGGGTCTAAATGGTAGCCGGCCCTTAGCTTCAGCCTGGCACTTTGTTGTCACGTTTGCAGAAGTGTATTAAACATTCCCAGTACGCTTCTTTACAAGGCAAGGGAGTGTTCAAATTTCCAAACATCATCCAAAAGTATGGTCAAACATTTCTCCGACTGCCTGATGAAAGCTGTTAGGATTGGTTTGCTGTCTATAAAGGGTGCAGATTTTTTTGGGGGGGAGGGGTAAACATGTGTTTCAACTGTCTCAGGCTGGATTTCAACTGATGATAGGCTAATGTTCGTCAATATTGGCAAGACTTCTGATCAACAAAATTTGACTATTCGAGGACTCTGAAAAGTAGAATGCAGTCATCAGAGGAAAGAGGATCCAATTACAAAATAAACCGATGTAGAAAGGAGAGAGGTTACTGATTAATTCAAGAAAATGGCAGTGCTTCACCGGTGCCATACTTGACCTGCAACAGTTTGGCAAGTGACGGTACCCTGCCAGTTGATGAGGTGTGCAACAGAGGCGTGCGTACCACTCTTGCATGAAGATGGTACCGCTACAGTAATGACTTCAAATTCTAGCCACCAAATGTGACCCACTCTGTGAAAATAAGTCTTAAGTCGCCAAATGTGACCCACTCTGTGAAAATGAGTCTGAAGTCGCCAAATGTGACCCACTCTGTGAAAATGAGTCTGAAGTCGCCAAATGTGACCACTCTGTGAAAATGAGTCTGAAGTCACCAAATGTGACCCACTCTGTGAAAATGAGTCTTAAGTCGCCAAATGTGACCCACTCTGTGAAAATGAGTCTGAAGTCGCCAAATGTGACCCACTCTGTGGAAATGAGTCTTAAGTCGTAAAATGTGACCCAGGAGTAAAAAGTCCTTCAGAATAATTTTGCACAGTGTAAATCTCAGAGCCAAGCTAACGGTATGCTGTGTGTGGGCAGTAACATTCACGGTAAGCATAGTAACAAATGGGATTCTTTTCCCCTACTGAGTGTCGCAAGATGAACCGCACTTGTGCAACTTGAAAATGTTGGATGACGGGCCATCATACATATCTGCTCTCGGCACGCTGCTCATGCTTGGGGGTCATTATTATCCTCTACATTCACATCGGCATGGTTGCGCGCCGCCACGCTCGACAGATCATGGCCACTTACCGCACAGCGAACGTCCCAGAAGGGCAGGCCGTGCAGGGGCAACGCATGCGATCCGCTGTCACCGTGGCGATCGTAACTGGCACTTTAGTCCTCACGTGGCTCCCATTTGCTGTCATGTGGTGTGTGTTTCGTCAGCCGCCACAACCCTTCACAGTAGAATTTTGGGCGGTTCGTTTCACTGACATGGTGCTGATGTCAAACTGTTGGCTCAATGTTTTTATCTACTATATAAGGAACAGGGATTTACGGCAAGCATTGCACTGTCTACTGTTAGCCTGGCGCCGCTGTCTTTATCGAAGATGCCTTCAATAGTATTTACAACCACTCAACCTGGCAGGCTATCCATTGCTACAAAAAGCTAGGACTTGACAGACCTTGGTATTGTACTTATGTACATATATGTACACACTTTCCACATATTTGTATGGCACCTTTCAGGTAACCACTTCATGGCAGGATTGCGTCAGGGAATTGGACAGAGTGGTTGGAATTGTTTTTTGCTGAAACGTGCTTGGAACTATACAAAATGGAGCCGCCGATTTTTGAAATAAAGACAAACACTCCATATACTTACTCTGAGGGTCATTTCTGCAGTGTTTGTACAGCAACCACCCTAGTTTCATCGTTTGCATCGCGCCGAGACCTTGCTGTTGATCAGAAAATGGCTGGAAATTATAGTGCTACCATTGACATGACAAACAATGGATTAAAGATGGACGATGGATCCTTTTGTGGATTTTAACGTGCATGTAAATTTTGGAATCAATTTGGCTTCCAATCTGAAGTTGTTGCAACTCTCTCTGTGTACTGCTGCAATGAACACACTGCATGCCGCCCTCTGCAGTTCATGCGCAGAGACTATACCGGTAGATACACTTGTTCTGGCACATGGCACAGTCTCACGTACACCGTGTATTCATTTCCACTGTAGTTTCAGGTAGCCATGCACTACCCTCGACTGTGGAACCACCACCAGAACTGGGAAGTGACGCTCACCTTCAGCAAGGCCACGACTTACCTGCTGTATGCGCACAAGGGCTTCGTAAGTGGTGAGTGAGTGGCAATGACATATTACGGCTTGTGTACTCATTCTGATGAAAACTGTCAGACCCGTACATGTAAATGTTTCTTGGGGATGAGACTTGAATAGGGAAATTGTACTGGTTGAAGAAATGTACCAAGTTTATCCTAAACTTGTCGTACAGTATATGTCATACACAGCGATCTCACAGACACAAGCCAAACAATCCAAGAATGTGTAATCAATGTGTCAAGAGGTGCATGGAGCACCGTGACCTAAAATACAAAAGGAGTCAAGTCACCAGAGCCACTTTTGAGGTAAAGTCCTTGAAAAGAATGGTGCACAAGGTTAATGAGCGGAAACTCTCAAACTTGTGATTACCTACATGTATGCCATGCCAAGCAGAACGGCACATCAAAACAAGGAGCTTAGTTTGGCTCTAAATCTGAACAAACTTACTGACAAAATGTTAAGACTCATCGTCCATGTTGTAGTTGAGTACTTTTCGAGTACCAAGTTCTCTGCCATAAATTTAACTGGTTAGGAGGGAACGAAGCTGAAGTACATGGGCATGTGATGGTGTAATGTAAATGCAGAAAAGTAAGATTACAGAGTAAAATGGTGACTCACGACTATCACCGTTTTATAAAAATTAAGTTTTTAGGACAAAAGTACTCAAAAAGTACCCAACCGAGTACTTTCCTAGTACGTTCCTCCTTAAAACTAAAATTTTATAAAACTGGGAGTGTCTGAAGTCATTTATTTAGTATGTAATCTTAACTTTGTGCATTTAGCATCAAATGCCTGTGCACTCCAGCTTTATTTCCGCTTACCCAGTCCAATGTCCGGCAGAAAACTTTGCTACTCGAAAAGTACTTGATACATCACTGCTCACATGTTGTTTTTGTCATGCAGATTTGTTCTCGGATTGGTCCACCAAGAGCCGCTCAGACTTGTTCGGTTTCGTCCCCTACACGGTGAATATCAACATCATCCTTCGGGAGTTTGTCCTGATGCTGCCCACCAACAAGTACAACTGGGTGGACTGCTCCTCTCGCCAGCAGCAAAATGGTACGTGGTGACCACCTTCATGATAAAGACACTGATGCTGTGTTGTGGTCAAGTCCAGGTCAGGGGTCCTTCCACAAGTCCAGTCACAGGTCCTTCAAGTCATAATTAACGGGGTGAACTATAAAAGTCAGGTTGGCGTAGTGGTTCTTTCCTCGCCTTTCACCTCTGCGGTCCCGGTTCTATTTCTGGCTCAGTCCACGTGTGGATTGGATTTTCAGTCCCTACCTGATTCTGAGGGTTTTACCCAGAATATTAATCTGGGATTTTTCTCCCACCTCTAAACTGTAATATTTTGCTTCTCATTGTCTCCTCTCAAAAGATTTCCTCAGGCTTATGAGCTTACAGCGCCGAGGACGCTTTTGAGGAATCTTTGGTGTCATTACCAGAAAATAATAATAACAATAACTTTGACAAAGGAATGCATTTGTTGCGGTTCATTTGAATAACTTGTGCCTTGAATTCAGACTGGAGACCTTGTGATGGTCGTTTGAGGTCTGATGTTGATGGCTTTAAGAGGTTATGGTTTATTTGACCAAAACGTTTTGGTGAAACAAGGGGTCATAATTGTGGAACTGTGGATCATCGTTTGATTTCAGTTTTTATCGGCCTTGTTGGGGATCTCCTGGACCTATCGATAGTTCTTCCGTACTCCGACTACTTGCCTCCAAGTCTACCAGTTACAGTTGTACTCCGGGTAGGAGTTTGTTTGTTTGTTTCTCTCTTTCCCTGTTTGTCTCTTAGTTTGTCAGGTTGAATTCCAAGTTACCGTCACAGCTCATCATGCTTGCTTCTGTTTGTTTAATAAGTGTCCCATTCAGGCTTTTTGGCATATCTTTTCACTGTGTATATGTCTTGCATCGTTTTTATCTGCCATGTAAAGCTTTGTTAATTTGTGATGTCTGTAATTTCTGTTCTTTCTTGTTCAATGTTTGATTTGGTAACATGTTGTTGCTAAGTTTTGGCTTATCTGTTGTGGCTAGACGAATCCTGTCATCTGCACATGAAAGACAGACTCATGGGAAGTTTTTCAAGGGAGTTGGTGCACATGTCCGACATACATATAAAGATCATAATTTTCAACAGAAAATTTTTGTATGAGCTTAAATCTTTGTGTGCTGGCGGTGAGGCCACACCAAAGGGGCATTTTGGCAGTATTCTCCACCAAGTTCACATTGCAGGCAATGGCTTCATGAGGCCGGTCTGCTATGCAGTTTGGGCGGGGGGGTTGGAGGCTAGCACCCTCCCCAAACAAGGCAATTTTTTCTCCTTTGACAGATAATGAGATCAAGGCATTTTGGGGTCTGCTTCATTTTCCTGCCTTCCACGAGTTTGTAAAAAAGCCCTAAAATGTAGCCCCACCTCCGAGAAAGGCCATTAAAGGCTACATGAAAAAAATTGCCTAATGTGCCCCCCCCACCCAAAAGCAAAATTGTCGCAAGATTGGGTTCTGGATCTGCCCGTGGGCCACAGACAATTCATTGGTTGAGCCCAGTTCCCTGTTCCGGCAACTCTTACAATTAAAGGTCTACCGAATCAGCTCAGATCAAGTTCAGTCAGCCACAGTTTTACAATGTTTTCTGGTTTTAAAGACGAGACGCTGCTGTAACACTTGAATGCTCAATGTCTTTGCAGGCGGACTCTGTCTCCGGCCGGCTGTGTTTCCCAGAGTGCTACAGCAGCCAGCACTGCCTTCAAGGCCTGGACCGCTCCACCAAGGGGCCGGACAGCTGGGGGGAGGATAAGAAACAGCTGGGGCTGTCGTCGGACCACTGGCAAGGCACCACGCAGGAGTAAGACATTGCTCAGAGTCAAATACCTTGTACCTTGTAGCCCACACTCCCAAAAGGGTCCACCAGGAACTGAGCTAAGAGTTCGAAATCTTAGACATCAGTTTTTTTTTCAACAATACGGTCTCAGCACAGCAGTAAAGCTGTTGATGTTTTTTGTGTCTCAGTCATTCGTTTTTACCTTGTTCGACACTTGGGAAGCTTTCTTTTGTAAAACTTGGACTTGATGCTATTGCGTGCTCCACCCTACTTCAGGTCCTACAATAGCTGGTGCATGCTCTGTTTCTGGTCTCTTCAACTATGGAAGTAGGCCACACACTTCTGTGACCAGCGACAGCAATGCTCAAAGGGCCAGTGCAAGGCAATTTCTGAAGCCAGTCCTTGTTAATGTAGCTTTGTGCCCCATTCAACCTTGCTGTTCCTTTTCATGTGGCTATTTGTATGGGCATTTCAATAGATAAGGGGGTTTCGAGCTAAGGCAGATTTGTTGGGGAAAAAGATATTTATCTTTACACGTTTCTTCCTGAAAGTTTGTTTTCTTTGTTTTAGTCATGGACAACAAGGCGGTGTCAGAATTTTCTCGGTAGTATTTTCAAAGAGCTTATTTCAAGTTCACAATTTCAACAGAAAATCCTTAAAGTGATGAGTGCCTAACCATGATAGTACGTCGATCGCAGGCTCATTTGTTGGGGAAAGAATGACAAAAGTTGTAAGTGGTTAAAAAAGTGCCCTCCCTGTAAAATTGACCAAAATGGAAATGCTAAGTCATTTTATTACATTTAAGACAATTAGAAAGTTGCAAAAAAACCATGTCACCTTAAAAAATAGACTTAATTAGCCCTTTCATTGAATTATTTCATTATATTCAATAGCAGTCCATATCTTGATGGTTCTTTTGTTTATCACCTTTGCTGTTGTGCAGGGATGGCTGGGTGGAGTGTGCGGCCGTGCCGTACGTCGCCGTCAGCATCACCTACACCTACCACCCCATGCCCCTGGACGAGGACTCGCCCATGATCCAGATTCGACGCACCCCAAGCGGCCGGCCTGAGCACCAGAGCCACCCGGCCCAGACATCCTACGCTGGCTGGAAGCGGCCCGGCCGCATTGCTGTGCCGTCCGAGTGGCTGCCGGACCGTCTGCAGCTGGAGGTGGACATTGGGCCAGCCATCCTCATGGCCTATGGCTCCATCGTCAAGTGTATACTGGCCCTGAAGGTAAGCTTGTTTGGAATGAAGCGCAGGCATCCTTTGTCATGACCGTCGCCAGCTTTCAAGTGCAGCCTTTCTTTCAAGTCATAGCTTCATCTTATATTAAGTTCCAGAAACATCTTCAACAGTTATTGTTGGATTTGTAGGAAAAATAAAACCCTCTCCAAGTTTTCTTCACATCAGAAGTTTTTGTTTCTGCAGCTTAAATTGTAGCTGCCTTCAAATGGTAGTTCTCAGCTCACTGGAGAAATTTAGGAAACTAAAGATTAAAGCCGAAGTCTCAGGCAAAGTTGAGGTTTGGGTGAACTCCCTCTTTGTGGGCAGTTTATGCCAAAGTAAGCTTTCCATATTTATGCTTTGGATCTGTTCCACTTCCATATATTTTCTACTTTTCATCTTGAGTTGACCTTTGGGACCAATTTTTTTTACCCCCATCTTCAGGAGAACTATTTTGGTGTGGACCAAGTCCCGACTGACTTCATCCGACCTCCTAGCGACGGTCTGGAGGACAACCCCAAAGACACAGAGGGACGCATTGTCAACGGTCTGGCGCTCAGACACATGGATGTCATTGTGTCCCTGAATGTAGACGGCATAAAGGCCACACTTCCTGTGGTATGATCTACGGCAGTGCTTAGCAGAGGATTGCACCCCTTTTAAGATTTACAAGATCTGGATTTGAAGCCCCGGCTGTTTTCAACACCAATTTTGGTTAATTCTCTAAAGAATCATGTTTTTGTTACCATCTCACATTTTGGGGAAGGGCATTCCACCTCCTTCCAATCTTGCCTCTGCGGTAGTAAATTTTTATTGAATATAGAGACATCCAATCTCTATAAATATGCAAAATGTGGTCCTAATCATACAAGGCATTTTGTAGTTACGGTCCCTTGTATTCCGTGTCTGCTTTCTGTGAATCGGCACTTGTCTGTGTACAGCCAGTGTAAAAATTCTAGATTTCTCAGAACCCTGCATTTAAGATTTGACATTTCATGTGAACTTTTGTCAGGATTCTTCACAACCGATACAGGAGCATGCCCAAGACATTACTTTACATGAATCCAGAGAGAAAATCGAAATGAATAGCAGGACTTTCTGAAATAAACATCTGAAGTTTGTTCAAAATCTCCAGACTTTTGACTAAGGATCTCTTTGATTGTGCTATAAATCAATTTTGTACATTGTACATGAAGAAAATTTGTGATATCAAACCCTGGCCTCAGATGGATTTTTTCCATTTTTCAAAGTTCATTTTAATCAAGGGTGTGATTTCTCAAAAAGATTTCTGGATTTCCGAGTTTTGACTGCCAAATTGTGGAATTTCAGACGTACAATCATTCTGAGTTTTGCCTCTTTTCAGTACCTGGTACAAATAGCCAATTGCCAAATTTACTGAATTAAGACCCATTTATGAGAGAATTTATGACCATGTTTAGCTGTAAAGAGCCCTGAAAACATCACATTATTTGATTGCCATCATTGACACAACCCCTCTGTAGGGTGTGTCATGGGTTTCTCGTTATCACCCGGTTTCACCCCTGTTTTATAGCAATCCAACTTTTACATCTCTTGTTGACAGTACTGCGGCAAAACTGAGCCCTCCTGCCCCATAGCGGTGCTAGACCAGCTCTGCTTTGAGCTTCAGAAGGGCCACTCAGAGACCAGACTACAGTTGCTGCTGTCCCCAGTCACAATCATGGTCTCCGATTCACAGAAGGTAAGCCGATTGCCAACATTTGCTATTAAAAGGCATCGCCTACCTTCTGTATGCTATTTATTTGGAATTTATTTTTAGCAGAACTCAGTCTCTTCTATTATGTATTGTATGTAGAATTATATGTTAAGAATTTGTTCTAACCAGAAATCAGCAGTGCACCAGTTACAAACAGTACGTTTACATGGCATCTTGGCTGGTAATCAGATTTTGCTCCAAGGATTTGCTATGCAGTGCAGTTTTCTATACTCCAGTGGCAAAAGTCTTCGGATAAGTTCAGGCAGCGTGTTCTTACGTTTGGTAATGAAAAGTAAACATGTCAAACGGTGATGTCCACGTACATTTATTCAAGAGTTCTTTCCTTGTTAAAAAATGGAACATTCGTTTCTGTAACATCGAAAATTGTTTCTGTTAATTTTACAAAACATCTCTAGTTCTGTCGACCATCTTGCAATTTTTGCAGCTGTTCAAAAATAACAATCCTGTGCATGTTTCTCTTGGTTTTTGCAAAACCCTAACAAGGACATATTGTGCAATTCAATTACTAGAACAGTTTTTGGTGTCGTGTTCCCACTGTTTGAGTGTGAGACAGTAAATCAGTGTCGAGAACAGGCCGCCCAAACTCGGTGTGATTGACAGTTCACAAAATGGATCTTGCAAAGTGCTTCCCAACCCACCGCCATTGCTGGCATTGTTGCTGATGGTGATATTTTTGCTGTACTACTTCCCTTGTCGTCTTTTCAGCTCTCAGATCTGCGGTCACCCTTGTTTGGCTGTTTTTGGCTTTTTACAATTTCCATTCTCGTGTCTGCAGTTGTTTGCCACTCTCCCACCTGGTTTGAATTGCTGCCGCTGCACTTTTGTAGGAGGGGAGGCTGGAGGGGGAGGGGCTGGTTAACTCCCAGCCCCCTCACCACGCTTCGATTTTAAACAACCAAATGAAATAACTTCTGAGGTTATTGTTTTCTCCTGTCGCCTCAGAGAGTCGATTCTCACCTTTGTGACGGCCACCTCGGCCTCTCCGGTCTGCAGCTCCGCGGCCACGCCATGTTCTCAGACGAGGGTCTACCCATGGACAGCGAGACTGTGGAGTACGCATGGCTGCTGGACCTCCAGATGGGGGTATTGAGCGGACGGCTCACACCCCCTCAGGTAAAGAACAACTCTGCCCTTGTGCCCTAATCCTGAAAATTGTTTTTGCCGGGAAGCTTGATCACAGCAGAAAAAAGGTCCCTGGTGTAAGGAATGCATCCTATTTAGTAAAAACGGATGAAATTTACCACAAAATCAATACAGGCTGTACAAAAAGCAACCTTTGAACAACTTATTAAATGACTATTAAACAACAACAAATTTTTTAAAAAGCTTTTTGCAAAGAAATCTTTATATTTCATGAAAATGAAACAGTTGCATACATATGCCCTTTTACCTGGAAAATTTTTTTTGCAGTGAACATGCTTCCATGCTAAAGGGTGTAAGCACCTACGCCCTTCTTCCAGGCACACGACGAAACGATGCGCACTTGGAGAAGAAACATCTCTAGTCCACAGAGATCCCATAGTCCACGTGGTTGGCCAATCCCATACGCTATGATAGGCTGATTTCTTTGGGCTTCATGACATCATTTCCTCCTTCCGTCACCAGATTTAATTTTGATTTTATTTAACCCTCCCATGCTGAAGTCACTCTTTGGGTCATTTGGTGAACACCTCAAAGAAGCACAGCTGTGTCGTGTTGTGCACTGCACCAACAGTCCCTCGCAGGAATATCAGGTTGCACTTTTGTGCTGCCCAACAACTGTGCCTTGCTGTTTCATGTGCATCATTGTGCAGTAAACCAAATGCAGTGAAGAGGACTGCGCAAAAGACCCTGGGTCATTTTGTGCTGGCAATCTACTGTGTACACACTAAACCTGTGCATGTTTGAGCTCCATATAGAAAATACATGCTCACCAGTGACTGTGGTCATTTGTGCACATTTGGGCTGTAAAACCAAAGGAGGGTTAATTGAATTTATTTGAGCAATAACATAGGCCAGTATTGGCATGTGCGCCGTGTTAGGGAAATTTGAACCGAGTTGTGGGGACATTTCTTCGTCCCCACAACGTTTCAGTCCCCACAAAATAGGTGAAATGTCAAGTGTATGTCCCCACAACTAGAGTGCGGGAGTGTGTGTACACACAAGGCAGTATTGAAGTGTCAGCATATCTCTTCCTTTTTTTATTTGGCAAAAGCTTCAAGCTAGCCACTACCTACAAGTAGCTAATAGGGCAGCTGAGTATCAATATGAAATACAAGGTGCCAGCACTTGTGCTGTGAAAATGGGCAGCTTTGAGAGGTGATCAGTTGTTAATCAGTGGCGACTTTCCTTAGTAGCATGTGCACAAAATGTATCCTGGATACCAGGCAAAATTGACCATTGGTTGACAAATGGTCCATTGCTCCAACTTGCCCATTGATGCCAATGCCTAGGACAGAGTAGTGTCTACATAACACTGCTATTCCTTGTGCCTACAGAGCATATAATCCAGCCCTACCCCGAGGTAATGGACCTGTTCGGTTAGTTGAACTGTATTCCAGTTCAAATCCCACTTGAGCCTTTTTTCATCTTTCTCAATCCTTTCTCTAGACGCTGTCCTTGGTAAGCTTCCTCCAGCTCTTTGTCCACCTGGCGGTGGACCCGCTGGACGACCTCCAGCAGCCGATCACGTCCAAGAACTGTGTCCACATGGTCAAGCAGCAGCGGTGCCGCATCAAGGAGCCCCTCTACCCGATCCCCTGCCCGACCGAGGACGACTACAAGTACCGCATGTTGCGGGTCAGCCTGAGAAGGGTGGAGCTCATGCTGGTGGAGACAGGATGCGCACTCCAGGTCCAGGTACGTGCCCCGGCCTTCCCGACACCTCTAATTCTTTTCAATTCTACCTTTGTATCAGGTGAATTTAAATTTTGTCACTGAATTTCAGTTCATTTTCAAGCTGCGGTTCCACACATTTTAGTTCTTCACTTTTATCAGCTGAATTTATATTTTGTCACTTAATTTTTGTTCATTATCAAGCTACGGTTCCACGTATTTTAGTTCTTCACGTTCATCAGTTGAACTTATATTTGGTCAGTTAATTTTTGTTCATTATCAAGCTACGGTTCCACACATTTTAGTCCTTCACGTTCATCAGTTGATTTCAGTTCATTTCAGGCTGGGGTTCCAGCCATTTTAGTTCTTCACTTTCATCAGTTAAACTCATATTTTGTCAGTTAATTTCAGTTTATTTTGTCACTCAATTTCAGTTCATCATCAAGCTGCGGTTCCATGCATTTCAGTTCTTCACTTTCATTATCTGAACTTATATTTTGTCAGTTAATTTTTGTTCATTATCAAGCTACGGTTTCACGCATTTTAGTCCTTCACATTCATCAGTTGAACTTATATTTTGTCACTCAATTTCAGTTCATTTTCAAGCTGCGGTTCCATGCATTTCAGTTCTTTACTTTCATTATCTGAACTTATATTTTGTCAGTTAATTTCAGTTCATTTCAGGCTGGGGTTCCAGCCATTTCAGTTCTTCACTTTCATCAGTTAAACTCATATTTTGTCAGTTAATTTCAGTTTATTTCGAGCTGGGGTTCCACGCATTTTAGTCCTTCACGTTCATCAGTTGAACTTATATTTTGTCACTCAATTTCAGTTCATTTCAGGCTGGGGTTCCACACATTTCAGTTCTTCACTTTTTTGAGTTGAATATGTTTTTTGTCAGTTGATTTCAATTCATTTTAAGCTGCAGTTCTTCATATAGCACTCTACTCCAGATGACACTTTTGAAATACATACTTTATCAGTTGAATTAGGCTCAGTTTGCATTCCAGTTCCTTGATTCAGTGTAAATCACAATTTTATTCAGTACAGATGCTATTAAAGTAGTGAGAATAGTTTAATGTAACAAATTTTCATGAATGCAGTGAGAAGAAAACTTTGCAAGGTGACCAATGTAAAATTCCATTCTGTTTGCTAGTTGCTTCTTAGAATAGAAAATGTTCACCAAATGAAGTTGTTGTATATGTAATGAGAGTTCTTTGATTATTAATATTTTTTGGTGGCAGGTTGGGTTGCTTAACATGGGAAAGTGCAACCTTCACAGTGCCAGCATCGGCAACGGTTTAAGCACTACCATCCGACAGATTGAGGTCAAGCAGTTTGTCAGCCAGTCAGACAAACCCCAGGCAACCTGGCTGCAGGCCTGCTCTTTGGACTGCCCCGAGCTGCAGCTAGACCTGGCCAGCGTCCTTCGCTCCAAGGATTCCTTCAAGGCCCAGAACCACTTCCTGACTGTCCGCGACAAGAAGACTCGGCGTCTGTGGTTCCTGTGGAAGGCGAACCCAGACGAGCCCCTGAACTGGCCCAGGGCCAAGTGTGGCTGCCGAGGGGGTTGCCTTTTCTTCAATGCCCCCGATCCAAACACCGTGCCCGACTGGATGGGGGACACGTCCTCCTGGAAGGCTCCCCTAACGGAGGTGGATAGGGACTATGGCCGCAGCATCCTCCAGCAGGGCCAGTGGATCTTCTCTGTCTGCGACCGGACTCCCGTGGACTCTCCATCCAGGGAGTTCAAATTCACTCAGGGCTTTGTCACTGTCACTGCTTCGACTCTCCCTAGAGAGATGGAGACTGGCGAGGTCCGAGCGGATTCCCCTGATGCAGCGGGGTCTTCCTCCAGCCTCCGGGAGCCTGTCAAGGTGCCCTCCAAAAGAGACTCCAGCTCCGTGTCGGTGCCAGACTCCCAGCAGCAGCCATCACGGAATGTCTCCCTGAGCACGAGCAGTGCCCAGGTTAGCACCACATCGGACCCGACCCTGACCATCAAGACCGGCTCAGACAGCTCCGTCTTTGAGCGCCACCCGTACCACTTCCACGGCAGCTCGCACAGCTTGCCAGTGGAGGCCATGGCCCTCCAGAGCAAACTCACTCTGGGCCGGGGCAACCTGAGTGCCGAGATGATCCGGCATCTGCAGGCAGATGCGAACATGACCTCAGCCCCTCTCAGCCCTCCCATGCTGAGGTCCAAGGAGGTTTCTGATCTCCCCCGCATGAGAGACAGCTGTGGCTCTGTCTCCAGCCACGCTGAGAGTGAGTACTACTCAGCCGAAGACGATTTCACTCTCAATGGCACCATGAGCAAGACACTCGTAGACACCCCCTCCAGCGGCAGCTTCGACACCAATGCTCAAGAGAGTTCCCCGTCAAAATCTTTTGCCGATGAGACCTTGTCCTCCGCGTCCACTCAGCAGGTGGAATCTCCAGGCTCATTGCAGAGGCAGGACGAGATAGACGTGAAACGACACTCCTCCTCCGCATCTTATGTGTCCGCGGCTTCCTCCGAGAGCAGCCTACACACCCAGAAGAAGCTGAAAGATGCCAGTCCCCAGAGCCCCACCCAGCCCCACCCATGGGTCTCCCCCAAGGCTTACTGCCACCACCTGACCCTGTGGGACTGCCATGGCTGGGTGACTCATCCGCCGGGCCACACCCTCCAGACACACCCTCCTTTCAGCCCTCTCTGTGCCCCAGCTACCACCCTCATCAAAGGCAACATCCCACTGCCGGAGTTCAGCGTCACCCAGGCTGGCCTGAGGCCAGGACTGGTGAGGATGACGGACGTCGAGCAGAATGACATCTGCACTGAGTCCGAGTCGGAAGATGAGGACAGCGCGGACAGCGAGATGTTCCTGGGTCTTCCTCCGCAAGAAGTTCGACGTCACAACCGAGTCCATTCCTCCCCGCCCTCCTACCAATCCACAAAGAGTAAGTCAATCTTCCCCTTTATCTCATGCTGAAGCCTGGGCCCAGATGATTGCAGCAATTATTGACAGCAGGCACGATGTTAAGAGGCAGACAGTTACACAAGAGATAATGTGGGGTGTCAATTTAACCAAAGTACTGAAACAATATGGCATATCACAAACTGCAGAAATGTTTTCCTGTGAAGGGCCTTTCTTGGGTTGCTGTGCCATTTCTTGCAGTCAAACTGGTACTTCAATTTGTGGTCAGCTATTTGTTGACAATACAGGTGTCTCTTAGTTTTGGATAACCGGCAAAATGCAAGGGCACTCAAGTATGAGGGACATTGTTGTGTATGGCTGTCATGCCAGCATCAGTATTTGTATGGGTCTACTCTGACCGTCCAACGACTCGATGCAGACAGTCAGCCAAAGTTGACCACAATCCAACTTTGCCAAGTAGCTGCTTCTGTGTTTGGGTTTGTCATGATAAGGCATTTCCATTTGGTTGCATATTAAATCTTTGACTGCTCGGCAATGCTATTTGCATCTTTTTACGTCAATATGGAAACTAGGCTCAACATCATTGTTCTAAAAAAGGGAGCCCAATGCTTAGAAGCTCCTAGAAGCTTTAATTTTTCTTTTGCCACTTGGTTCTTGCAGCGCTCGCCACACAGTGTCAGAGTTCGTCAAATGCTGCTATTCTGTCTGTCAAAGGAGCCCTAGATATCCTGCTCACGCCACTCCTGATGCAAGCTCTAGACAGGTATGAAGCTGTTCTCTTTTTTTCCAAGCAAGCAGATAGGTTTCACAACTCCACTTTGATACCCTATGTGAATGAGTTATATTGTTCATTTTAGGCGTCATCCCCAAATTGACTTAGCGTTCTTCCACGTATTGTCTGTGTTTTCTCCAATGGTCTGCGTTGCTAAGTAAGGGGAAATCCATGGATGCGACAGAGGTGTGCGCTGAAGTGTGGGGGGTTTAATGAGCCGGGCGGCCATGTGCCCTGCCCTGTTGTCATCACGACAAAAAGCATCATGAATTAGCATGATTTCTCTGGACCTCGTGAATACCAACAGCTGTTCTGCGGCAAAGATGCTCCCCCATTTCCAGTATCAACATTTATTAGAGACGATGGGGTCGTTACAGTCGTTAAGAAATTTTTTGTCAAACTTTGGTTCAGGTCGGGACATCTACACGAATGTGCATACGTACAATTGCATGTGCATTGGTCAACGCACATTGAGACATTGGGAGCTTGCTACGAACGTGCTGTAGCACTTCGGTGTATAAATGATACAGTAATATAAGTATTGAACCTGCTTCTCCATCCGATATCCATGAGCAACTTTGATTTCATCAGTTTCACATATTTTTCCAAAGTTTATTTAGGCGTTACAATTCCGTGGAATATTATCTTCGGAGGCGGTGTGACATTTTCTGAATGTGTTTCACTAACCAAAACGGTTGTGTTTAAACCACGCTTGACTCAACAAAATGATCGTAGGATATGTGAAAACAGCAAAAATAGTATGCTCAAATGGGAATGTCCTACTTTACAGGATACAATATCAAAGTGGATTTCAAGTGAATTATGTTCTGGTTATTTTCGTCACGAAACAGATACAGCTACCAAACTGTGGCATTCCAAATATAATCGAAGGACCATGGTATCAAGTCGGCATTCTTTTCCAGTACGGTGACCAATTTTGAATGTTCCATTGTCTTTTTTTCGAAAGACAATTTTGAAATCAGCAAACAACTTAGAGCTCTGGCAAAATTCTATCACAACATATAACTACTACGATTTTGACCAAATGAAGAAAAGTTTATTTGGCCCCTGCGTGCACCAACTCTCGTCGCGCACTGAAGCGCTGCTTTTTTCTGCTTGCCAAAATCCTTTTTTTCCTCCAGAGTTGCCTTGTTGGGGATGACACCTTCCCTTCAGCCTTTGTTAGAATACATGCTTCATTTGTTTTTAAGGTTATTAGTTTAGCATTTTACCCCATAACTTCTGGAGCCTCTTCTTTCCTGCTCTTCAAATTTGGTCCAAAGCCTCTAAGATCCTTCAAAATCAGCCTGGACGTTTTTCGAGGGTTTTGCAGAATTAGACGTCGAGATGAAACTGAAGAAATTTCTTTGTGAACATGAATTTTCGGAGATTCCTCAAATTGTTGCGAGCAGTTTTGAAGGATTCTGTAGGACTGAGGAAGGTTGAGTCCAGCCACTGTTAGTTTAAATGGGGCTTGATCCCTTGTAAAAGGAAAGCACAGTTGGGTTTCTTCAAAGTGATGGGTTTTGGAGGATTTAAGAGTACTTGTAGTTCAGTCAGAGCTTAGTGGATAAATAAAGATCACTGATCTCTGTATACACCGACGAGGTAGCTTGCGCACTCCCTGTGTACATGTACATACATATGAAGTCTATGTGGCTCAATTTTGGGGGGTATCCAAAGATGGCTGCCATCTCTTTTGGTGCATTATTGCACATTATACTTCACTCGTAACTTTCTGGGGTTTTGAGTAGTATCGAAGGATAATGAAATAATTCATTGGTTGACGACTTGAGAGATTGTTACTTGAATACCCTTTTTTGTAAATATGAAAGACTTGATCCACACAAAATGGGCTTAAACATTCATGATACGACAGCCCACTGTGAAGATCTGGAGTCTCTCGGTCAGTCTCCAACATTGGCGTCCGCACAGTTTTGGCCTCTGAATACATGTGGTTCACAGGGATTCCTCAAAAGTGCCCATGGCACTGTAGCTCGCAAGCCTGAAGAGACCTGTAGAGTGGAGATAGTGAGAAGCAGTTAGAGTTTTAGTGGTGGGAGGAAAACCCCAGAGGAATATTTTGGGTAAAACCCACAGAATCAGGTAGGGACTTACAACCCAATCCACTTGGGCTGGGAATCGAACCTGGACCACAGAGGTGGAAGGGGAGTAAAGGAGGACTACGCCAACGTGACACCCGAGTCCTTAGTCTTGACTCCCTAGTCAGTCCCTTCATGTATATAGATATAGAGTTAAAGATGGAGCTATGGAAGATGACATACAGTATTATGTAATTGAAGTACTCAGTTGGCTTGCCCTGATCACTGTTCCGCCAGATACTTGCAGTCTGCTGGCAACGTGCTGTGCCTCCGCCATCCGGAAGCCATCGTGGATGTGCTTCACATGGACTGCATAGGCGACGTGCAGGCAGCCTTCAAGAATGCCAACAAGGCCGCTGGCCACAACAGCACTGAGTTCACCATCAGCCTTGCTTTGGCTGTCCCCAAAGTATGTCTGGCCGTCCATTTCTTTACTGAATTGATCTCAAGTTTGATAAAAAAAATCAGTGTTGTTGTAACCAAGTGAAATCCTAAGTAATTTATCCCACAAATCACGGTACATGTCAATTTTTTCCCGAGTGAAGTTGTAAATCATTCGTTTGTAAAGTCGAGTTGCAAGTTTTCCAAGTCTGGTGTATACTCAAAGCAAAATACAACTTGGGTCTTATTTGTCAACTCGAGTCAACAACGCTGTGAAATAAGTAGATAAGAAAGTACAATGCATGAGCTATCTGCTTTGAAATTAACAGCTCTAACCTTATCAGCATGTCTTTAAGTCGATGATAGTAATGATATGTACTTGTTAAGTTGACATATATCCCAAGTCAAGAGTGCTTCAAATATGAATGCATTGACTTTCCGTACACGCAGGTAAATCTTTTGGTAGTGCAAGCGTCCACCGAATATGACAAGCATCAGCACCATGTCAACCAAGCATCATTATTGGTGGGTTGCATTAGCAACATTCAAGTTCAGTTGATGAATAAGACGACAGCCGAGGAGACGGACTCCAACACGCCGAGCCCCGCTGAGAAGAAGCAGAAACTGGAGGAGATCCTGTCCGGTTCTCGGTACGGACTCCACACCGCGGATCAGGACCCGGCGCTTAAGAATCTGGAGAGCTCAGCGGTCGGGCAAGTCTCTGTGGGCAAGGTGCATTGTCAGCTGCGGGGGCTGGACTGTCCCGGTAAAGACCGCAAGAAGCGTCACATGTCGGGGGTGACGTCCATCCCGCACTCGCTCTCTAAGGTCATGTTCACCCTGGTGCCACTTTCGGGATCTGAGGAGGCAGAGGACGTGACGGTGACGGCGCCGACTGGCTGCAGCCTGATGGAATGCGGGATTGAGGGCATTGCGGTCAGTGGCAGCATGCAGTGCGCGCCGGTCAGCCCCCAGCCGTCCACTGCCGCTCCGTCACGGACCCACTCACGCCAGCCCAGCCAGAACTGGCAGGTGTCCCCAGAGTACCTCTCCACAACCCAGTCGGACCACCAGGGTGTCCCCTGGGGCAGGGCCCGCAGCATCTGCGACGTGCTCCCCAACGCCTCGTCTGGGATGGAACTGAGACACTCGGATGTTACGTTAGCCAAGCAGGCCGGCAAGCCTACTAAATCCAGGATCGTGGATGGCAAGATGGTGATCAGTTCAGTGTGGTTCCATGCACCTACTCCAAGCCGGCTATCAAATGATCATTCAGCAGGTGTTCAGTAAGTACATTCAAATCAGTTCCCTCAGAGCCCCTGCTATTAGTAAATGAATAAAACATTACCTGGTGCTGAGTACTACAATTGAGTTTGACAACAAAACCACACACACAGAACAGCCAAATTACAGAAATATGTAGCATTTTGCCACTTACAATTCTGCTGTACATGCCCCACGAGAAGGTTATTTTCATGTGGTATAATTACAAATAAGTAAAAAAAATGTTTCAAGAAATTTTCAGGTACGGTTTGTGGTTTGCTATTTTAATCCTTTGTGTCATGGAAATGCTGGTTGTTTGGTGAATGACATCTCAACACAAGGATGATCCTCACATTGGCCGCACTGTTCTAAGCATTTCTGAAAAGTTTAGGTTCAGTGAAAGTTAGTTGAACTGCATGTGGTGTCAATCATTGGTTTGGAACAAAATTTCTACTTTTTCCAGCCATAGAAAACCTGCCAATGTACTTGGATTGCATTGTTTGAAGAACACTTTAATTGTACTTTGAGAATCTTTAATTCATGTCCAAGTTCAGCCCAAATCTCAGTTAAAATTTATCAAAGTCTCAGAACTGGAACACAAGCAATGGAGAAGGCCACGTTACCACATTTGTGACCCAGCCTAACCAAATGATTTGCAAGTCATTAGTGCCACTTGTCAGCGAAAGGTCATGAAAAGAATCCGACCTAAAACGTAAAGGCTGTTTCATACCACAGGCGAATGTGAAAGCGAAGTGAATTTGACGTCAAATGCTTGGATTGACGTCAAATGCTTGGATTGAGTTGTGTTCAACTTTTGCAAATTTGCACAGCGAATATTTGATATGACGTCACAAAGTTGCGTCTGTGTTCACTTTTGCACCAAGTACATGTATGAACCAGCCTCAAGTCAGTCAGAACCCTCAATATTTTTTGCCCACAAAATGCCCATGTGCATTGGGATGCCAGACTGAGTGATTCGTCAAAACAAAGTAATGCAAACTAAATGTATCCAATCCCATTTGTGTACTTTTGTTTGGTTTTTAGATCTGGTCTGAACCCAGTCAGTGCCCTGTCCCTGATTGTCACCACCTGGCTGCCCGCCTCCCAGCAAGCACTCATCAGGCTGAACAGTCTGAAGGCGGCCAACCACCTGCGAGTCTGCGCCGTCATGGCATGCATCATGGCCGAAGCGCACGAGATGTCCTCCACGCATTACATCACCGCAAAGGTCAGTCCGGGGTCAAGGAACGACATTGAATCATCTCGGCAGTAGATTCTTGAAGTGCATTGGCTGGGAAGTGATTACCTGATAGCTTTCAGAAGTACAGTATATACCCTGGAGAGGTTTTGCATGGAAGCTGATTTGCATCTATTTATTTTTTGCAATCCATGCCTGTTCAGATTCTGCTCAGATTTTGTGAGTTTCGTATGCAAAACACAGACATGAATTTTTGTCCTGGTGTAAACAGAGAAGAATCAACTTTAGAAATAGCAGTCAGCGTAGATAAACGATGACAGTTTTGAAATCATGAATAACTTGAAATACAACCCGTATATCACAAAACATTAATGCATCACAAGTTAAATAATAGAGATATGCTGGTACAAAAGCATAAAAAATTATAACAATGACAGCAAAAACACTGCCAAAGAGACTGACATCAAACTATTAAGAAGCCACCAAATAGCAAGTAGATGCAGTTAAAAATGGATTTAATAATCCAGAATGTCAGCCTCATTGTGAAATGCTATTTTAATGGCAAATCTGTCTTCCTGTTCACATTACTTATGACAAATAATGTCCAGAGATTCATCATTTTCAACTCAATCAAGAATATTAGAGTTGATTTGAAAAGAAGCAATTGACACTAAGTAATGGCTCTCCGATTACTCTGCACAAAGTATATTAATCATAGAGCTATATGTAAAAACAAGAGCTCTGACTTATGTGCAAAATAATACCTATTGGGCGCATCCATGTTTGTGCGCAAGCCTATGGAAAACTCGAAAGATTTCAGGGCCGGCGACCATTTAGACCCGGTTTGAAAAGGGCCCCCCCGGTAAGCTCACCCTGTTGCAAAAACCCCTTCTATACCAGCCTGGCTACGGGCCTGGGATGCTGGACTGGTTGTTGATCTCGAACTTCTCCATCCTGGGGTCTATTGTTTGCAAGTAGTGGTACATGTAATCTATCCCAGAAGGAACCTGCTTGTGGTTTTAATCCTTCAGCTCTATACAATGTTTACACTAATCCGCTTAGACCCCTATTCATCTGTGGAAGCATGGTGGGGGAAGCCTTCCGTCAGGGACTTTGAAATGCCGACGTACAGACAGGCCCGATACCGGCCTGGAGTAGCCTGAATACCTGGCAGGCATTATACAGGGTGGGCTATCGGGGGGCCCTTTTCAAACCGGGTCTAAATGGTCGCCGGCCCTTACGGCTTTTGTATGGCTATTTGCATATCTGCGTCTGTATTCTAAATGATACGTCTACAAAGCCGATACGCAAAAAACCTGAACACACAATCAGTAAATGAGCCTTTCATTTTGCTCTGCGCCCAGAAATGCAAACGTGTATCGAAATTCGTACGAAATCGGACAAAACATTCAATTGAAAATAATCAGCTATGGATGTAAAGAAACATGTGCCGGTTTTCCTCTAATTTCCATATGATCGTAAACCTACATTTTCATTTTTTAGAGCAAGTACAAGCGCTGGACATCAGAGACGGATGCAATTGGCCAGGACCTGTCCTGTCAGCTCTTCACTACTCTGTGGTACTACCTCCATACCAGCAACCCCCAGCGCATCGAGAAGCTGGTCAGTGAGGACGTGCCTGCGATCCATGTCCTGGAGCAGGGTACCCACGCCTTGATCCGACAGTGGAAGGTCATCCTGTCCATGCTGAATCCGGCCGTAACGGCTGCGCAGTTTCCCGCCAGCAGGCTGCCCCAATTGGACGAGCAAGACGGGGTGGATCCGCTAGCAGCAGCAGGTGCCCTGGATCCAAATCTTCCAGCTCACACACTGCAGACCCAGTATTCTGGGGCCAGCGTCGATCTGGACATCGGTCCCCAAGACCCCTCGCAGCTGATCACCCAGCCGGGGATTGAGAAAGATGACCCCGAGTCAGTGTTACTCAAACCATACTCAAGCAAGTACGGGACGGGGTACAGCATGTACGAGGAATTTGCCGGCACCAGCAAAGTCTTAGAAAATGCGGAGAAATTCCATGAGGTCCCAGGTAATGTGACAGGCGATGGTGGGACCGAGCAAACCTCACGACACAGGTCCCACACTGCAAGCAGCTGTACTCAGAGCATCAGCGGGACACCGGGGAGGCACCAGATGCTTGAAGCGGGCGGGCAGAAGCTGAGCATTGACAGTGCTGAGGAGGGGGCAGAGATGGTTGAAGATGAGAGAGGAGTAGAAGAGGCAGGTACGACCGACGAGGCATACAAGAATGCCCAGCCGCAGGATCTGAATCTCAACCTACCCTACTCGAACAGCTTCATCCCAGACGCAGCCATCACACCAACCATCATGCAGCTGGGTGATGCAGACATCCTCTTCAAGCCCCTCCTGAAGCATCTGGGCATCGCACGCAAACAGCCCGAGCACTTCATCATCAAGAAGAATCTCCAGCAGACAAGTGTCACCCTGGAACTGCAGCGCCTGAGCCTGACCATTGTTGAGTCCTCCCCCCGCCAGCGCAGCAGCAGCCGGGGTAAGAAGTCCCGTGACAAGGACCCCGCTCGGAACAAGGCCTCTTTCCCCTCCTTCTCCAGCGAGAGCCTCGTCTTGAAATTCTCCCTGAATGAGTGCACAGAGACCGGCCGGCAGACTCCTGAGCTGGGAGACCGCTCCCTCAAACCGTCCCCCTCAGACAGTTCCGGGATGCCGGTCAACCAAGGCGGTCAGTGCCAGGCCTTAGCGGCCTACATCTCCATCCACTGGGCTCGTGCCATGCCCGTCATGAACATGCCCCTTTTGCGGCTTCTCAGCCAGCTCGTCCAAGTGGGCCAAGCCATGCAGGAGGCCAAACGCCACCTGCCCGGCAGCAAGAGCGGCACTGACACGGAGCCCAGCACAATGAACAGCGACCTGTCAGCCACTATGCTGCGGCAGCAGGCCACCTTGCCTCGTGTGGACAGCCCTGACGGTCACCACGGCGACACCATCTCCTTCAGCTCCCAAGCCGACAGTGAGGTAATCGCCCAGTGCTGGCAAACCATGTACCACCTCATGAATCTGTACTCAGGGGTGACGCAGCCAATCAACAGCCTCGACACATCCCACGTGATTGTCAATCCTTTGTTCCGGATTGAAAACGAACATATGATTGGCCGGTCCAGGGACAGAGGATCAACATCGGAATACAGGTAAAGGCTTGAAACTTGAAATAAACATTGAAAAAAATCATCAGGATCAACAAACAAAAGAATTTTTTTAATTTTAATTTTTCAAAACCCCCAAGGTACAGAAAGAATGTTCAAAGCATCTTTCCGAGTCACAATTCAACAATAAGCTATTTGTTTAACAACCCTTCTAAACCACTGCAAAATAATTTATAGTGGATAGGGCTGTGCCAAGTATCTGAATAACTGAACATACGATCGATTGAAGGTCGAATATTCGAATAGTGAATTATTTGACTTGACTCAGTCCTAATAGTGGAAACATCCATTGCCAACCTCTTAAAAATACACTTACACCTATACAATACAAATTTTAATTTGAACTTTGCCATTTCAGTATTCGTTGTTTTTTTACATTTTTTGACTGCATCGTTTTTGCAGTGTAACCTTCAATTACAAAAAATGAGTCCATCGTGAGCCACTGTTAGTGTTGTGGAATCGTTCATAAGACCTGCTACAATTCCTTGCACAAGACCACTCACAAGTAACCAGGTGAACAATGACTGAGTAGTGCCTTTGTCAAAGTTCACTTGAACAGCTTGTGACTGGATGACTTGTGATTAACTTGCAGGGATTTGAATTTGAGTTTCCCGTAATACTGTCGTGAGAGAAACAATGTAACACAGAGCATTCAACGAACTTGTGGTTATTCTCTTTCGGCATCATAAAAATCTCTGCATTAAATAGGCGATTGGTGGAAGAGTTGGACGAAGTGGACGGCGGGTTGCCAAGCAAGACCACCAAGGAGGAGCCCACCCAGCAGCCGCTGCATGTCACCATGCTGTGCACCATCCTGCTGGAGGAGCTGTGTGTAGTGTCGCAGCTGGCTGGCCTGCAGTGCGAGGCAGAACTCAATGACGTCACAGCCTGCGTCAACACCAAGCTGGTGGTGCCTGCACCAGGTAAAAGCAGGCAGGAAAGGTCGAAGAGAAATCATCTAGAGTAATTTATGAAAATGTACATCAGAACCATGATATCATATAACGGTGAAGTGCCTTGCACAGCATTACTGTAGAATATGTACGGTCTTTTGTTACAGGGCCCTGTTTCCTTTGTCCGAGTTCGGAGACCCCAGCCACGCATATAAACCATACGGCTCCGATTTCGGAGTCCCCGGCTGGTAGTGGTTAAAAGAGTATGATTCAAAATAAAAGTAGAGAAAAAATCAGTCACTCTGAAAAGAAACAATTTATTAGACTCTTAATTTGCAAAGATTAGCACATCACTTTTATACTGAGGGAATAAATATGTGCTTGGCCGGTCTTAAACGTGTGTTTAAGACCGGCTCAGGAGAATGTATGCGACCCTGAGCAAGGTCTGAAACGTTAGCTTGAGACTGGCGTGTCATGTGCACACAGACTCCTGACCAATCAGATCTGATTAAACTGTCTCGTGTCCATGTGCCAGTGCGTGATTTACGCAGTGGGCATTATCACTTCTCAGTGGGCATTATCAAATATTGATACACATCACATGACACATTTCGACCAATAGAAATACTGTCCCAGGTATTTATGAATAATGTTTATCTGCCCGTTGTTGATAACTTTGTCAGGGAGTGGCCAGAAGCATTGTTCCCAGAGATCTGTTTTGATCACTTGTGATGAAGTCATCGTTGTGTTATCTGAGAGACAGAAGCCAAATCCGTTGTAAGTAAAAAAAAATATGAATGCTTACTGACTTGATCATCCTGAACTTTGTCTGTTGTAAACCTGAGAGAGCCTGATTAGAGAAGCCAGAAATGAGAGCCATTTTCGGTCAGACCAGGGAAAACTCAACGTGAAGCCAAGTACAAAAGGCAAAGTTCAATCAGCGACCACCTCTATTATTGGCTGGTTTTTACCTGGTAACCCATACACAAAATACACCTTGGGCACCAGGCAAAATTGACCTTTAGTTGATTAAAACGCCTAACGACTGAACTTGACCAGTGCTACGTTTTATCAAAGAAATGATACATTCAGGGCCTTCATGAGTTGGGAGAAAAACTACAAAATGACATGTGGTGTAACAGGAAAGTGCAATGTCATTTCTAAGATGAAATGCACATCGCCGTTGTGTCGCAACTGTGTATTGATATTGGATCCCTCTCACAAGCAAGTCCCAAAAAACCAGAGTCATCCTGCTTATTCTCTCCAGTATCATTGCCGTGTACTTTATTATCATGTTGAGCCTGCTGAAGTTTCTCCACTGAAGTCTTGTGGTTATTTTTACACCAATGTTTTGAAACTTACAATTACCATTTCATAGAACAGTTCATTCATGAAAAGCTTGCGGCTAAGGGCCCTTTACACAGACGAGTGGTAACCCAATTCTGTGCAGTAAACAACACAATGGTCATTTGTGGGACTGTTTACTCTAAGAGCAGAGAATCTGCGCGGTAGGACCAAAAAACCCTGCATTTAAGAAACCCGAATGTCTTTCCTGAGATACCATTCTGAGATTTTGCCTTCTGGCCAGTCAGTGGTCTCGTCAGGTATGGTGTCTTGGGCTGGCTGGTAGACATGTTGGGTATTTCAGTCATACCTTCAAGTCTTCTGCTGGAGTGACTTTTGTGGGTAGTTTGAAACATAATGTTACTTAGTGGGTTTCCATCTTGTTGGAATGCACAGTATCACAGGGCGTCCCACTTTCCATTAGAACCTGAGCCTGTGAGATGAAGGCCTTCTGGGGGTTATCGTGAGAAGCTGTTTTTAGTTCTGGTGTGTACTTGTGAAGTACTTGACTATAGTGTTGCAAACAATCTCATGTCTTATAGGTGTGTTGTGACGCTGACATTGGACAAGCCCCAGGCGTCTTGCGTGGTGGCCAGCCACTCCGACCCATCCCACGTCATCACCCACTTCAGCTGGCAGTCCCTGGATGCCAGCCTGCCCATCAACCTGGCCACGCTGCACGGCGTGGTCACCCGCAGCAAACGCAAGCTGACGCACCGCATCCGGGAGCTGCAGTCAGCGCTGGCCCAGCCCCAGGCTGCTGCGGGCGAGGGCGAGACGGACGGGGAGGGGGCGGGGACAGGGCCGGGGGAGGAGGAATCCGAGAGAGGCCAGACTGACCCGCCCGCTTCTGCGGAGGCCATTGCCGCTGATGTTGCTTCTCCGGGGTCCACGAATTGGCACATTGCCAGCACGCTGATGCTCAACAATGTGTCGTTGCAAGCGGTTGTCCTGCCTTCACTGAAAGCTCAGTACATCGTAAGTAATCAGTATGTTCACAAATTGGGTGACCATGGCTATGCTATCAGTAACCATTTGTAATGGCCCTCCACAATGGCGGTCAGGAACCCTCAAGAATTTCTCAACATCCGTAACTGGCATAGTACTAAAAAGATCCACGACTGGCTGTTTTCAGTGTGGAGCTCTTGCAGGTGAAAATGATACAGGATGTGATCCCATGATACAGTCACATTGGAACTGGGTCGTATTTGCAGATCCGTGAAATCAAGGGCACTGCTTCATGCGAAGGAGGGATGACCAAGTACGGCATCGAGATGCCCACGCACTGCCTCAAGTTCAGCTCCAAGGTAGGTTGGCTCCCTTGTCAGACTAGATTGATAATTTCCTATGGTGACAGCTGGATAGTTTGAAGAACTCACAAAACAATGCCACAAACCAGTTTCCCAGTTCCCTCTTCTGAATTTCAAACTCAACATTTGAATAAGTTATGCCGTAGTTTTCATATCCGCCTAACATTTATTTAATGTCTGAAGCATTGATTGTTTCTAAATATTCAAAAGCCCTATTCAGTAAAATAATTGCTAAGTCGTTCTCCCAGGGTAAAGATGGTGATCAGTTGTCGACCGCAGATATTGACCTCCCTTGCATCACATTCAGCGGCCAGTACATCCTGCCCAAGCAGCCAGAGCCCAGTAAAACAACAGCGGCGGTGGCGGCGGCTGCACTGCCCTGCCCTGCTAGCCTAGACTCAGTGATCACCATCGAGGCCCTCCATCACAGCATCTCCACAGGCCTGGTCAACCATCTCATCACTGTGCAGCAAGTCTTCCTGACTGTGAGTGCATTTTGTCAGACAGTAAATTTGAGAAGTGGCCTGTCTGTGGCAAACTGTCGGTGGCGCGCTGTATTATGAATCACCCTTATTTACACTTGTCGGTCATCTGTCTCCGTATCAAGTTTGAATGTCAAGGCGGAACTCTTCAAACGGGTTTTGATCAAATACTGTACATCAATGAGAGAATTTCTTCGCTTAAGACACAAAGTTTTAAAAACAGTATTTAATGCCCCCCTGTTCCTCCTCTTGTAGGATTTGTCGAGTTTACTGGATGATGTGTTTGGAATTGACGATCCTCGAAAGCCAACGCAACATGAGGATGTGACGGAGACAGCTGTAGCAAGTCGGTCAGACTTTGACATTTCACTGCTTGTCAAATTAAAAGTAGGTGCCGCATTATTGGTTTCACTGAGAAGTTGCGAACATAATCTTAAGCCTGGGTTGTTTGCAAAACGATATTGAAGTTGGAGATTTCTAGGTCTGCTAAGGTTATTGGCTGTTTTGAGTTGGTTAAATTGTGTTGTTCTGTTTTGCCAGTATTTGCATATTTGTGTCAGAATTTTGTCGTAAATTTTAGCAGTTTTAGATTAAAATTGTAAAATCTTGGATTGTAAAATTGTTCCCATTCGAGTGTCGCATAACGTTTTTACACTTGGCGCCATTTGGTAATAAAAGTTAGTTCTACAATTCTTTTTGATTGAAATTTATGGGAAAATTTATTTGTAATACACGTACGTATTGAAATGTTTGATATGGCGGGAACCTTTAACTTTCTAACTGAAGATGTAACTTTTTAATGAAGATGTCAAATTGAGCAATACATCTTAATGAAGAGCTCATTGTGCTCCATCTAATGAACATGAAAACTCATAAGAGAAAAAAATGGGGTCAAGACTCATTTTGTTGGATCTGGTTGCGTGTGTAATTTTGTTGAGCTGTTCACAGTTGTCTTGACAACAAATATGTATCTTCTTTGACAGGGTGTCCAGATAACCGCAATCACACCCTCAGCCAGCGCCATGCGACTAGAGACCGGTGCTGTCGAGGTTCAGTTGTCCAACAGAATGACTGGAGCAGGAGGTAGGCACCCAGACATCTTACAGATAGTCACATAGATCATCATACCACTCATTTTTCACAGCATGCACATCAAACTACAAACCATTGTTGAGTTCAACCTCTATTTGTGACCTGTCACAACAAAATGAGAGTAAAGTCGCATCTTGCTCTTTCCTGTTTTGAGGGTTTAAAGTCATATTGAAGTGGAGGTCAAATTTTGGGTTTTGTGATATTTGGAAAGAGTAACCCGTGTCCTATTTAAATCTTAGTATTCTGCATAATCTTATATTGAAAAAGGTAATTTATTCAGCAATTTTGACGATAGCATTATTTGTGCCTGATCACAGTTTTCATGAACCTTAACATGTTTATTTTCACAGTGTGATTTTTCTTTTTCTCCGATCAGGCACCACCATCTCTGAGCCGGGCAGCATGAAGTTGTATGCCAAGGCCTTGATCGATCTCAACATAAGTCTGGGTACCATGCAGAGGTCACACGGCCAGAGCGAGGCCGACCCCGAACTGCACCAGCTGGCCTACTTCAAGGCCAACATCGGGCTGACAAATGCGCCAAGAGTAAGTCCCAACTTTTAGCACCCGTTTGTGAAGACGAGCAACTGCCACAGAGTCAGTGCTGTAGTTTAGACAGCTTAATGGTAAATTTATTTCTAAAATTAAAAGTAATTTCAAAAGTAATGATATGAACAGTGGCAACAGCACTGGCCAAATCTTTCCTGGCCAAGAAGGTGACAGACTCGAATAAAACAGTCATGTTTGCATATTAATTCTCCAAAAAAGGATAATGGAATGCAAAATGTCTGCCAGTTTTGTTCGCTCATTTGTCATTCTGTTTGTACCTCGCAGCAAGACAACATGGCCTCGCTTAAGGATGAGAAAGCCGCCTTCCTAGTGACTCTGACCAAACCGATCTTGTATCTGCAGCCCAGTGCTGTTGACATAGGTGAGTTGATCTGCTGCAAATGCGTGGAAGGTTCTTGCTCTCTTTCTGTTATTTGACAGCGACATTTAAAAACAATTTCGGATATTCGTTCAACGACATCCATTCCCACTTTATTGACTTTTACAGATTTACTATTATGTGTTTTACAGTTCCATGCTCAAGCACTTTTCATTTGACAGGTTCAAAGGGGGCCGTCTGCATTTCACAAAATTAGTGCCAAAAATACAGCGAGACATCAACAGAAAAGTTTTGCGGGCTCTTCCTGAAAAAGTGTACTGACATCAGAAATGTTATGCAGTTGGGCAGATTTTTAGCATCTAACAAAATTCTGTTCCGTTCATTTAATTTGTGAACAAACTGTTGAGGGCGCTCTATGCTGCTCACTTGAGATCAAGGAGGAGGGTAGCTTGTGGTTACTTTCACTTCTAATTCTCTGTAATTGTATACTATTTGTTCCTATGCATTGTCATTGAAAACACCAAAGTTAATATAAATTTAATGATGCTGTCTCATTGAAAACCACAAGTGCAGTGCTGATTGTACAGAATCTTCTTGCTTCAAGTATGGTCAGGGTTTACACAGAGAAGCACACTGCCAGCAAACGGCTTGATGTTATGGCTCAGAAGGTGAGGTGGTGATATAGTGCACCGAAGGTTGTAGGTTGATATGGCATTCGCGTCAGTCTAATGCTTCAGCCTAATGTTCTCCATGTGGACAGAAATAGATCTGGTCTCTTGTCTCCTCTGTCTACAGCCGTCCTGGTGTGGGTGTGCTACCACAGCGCCTACGAGCAGTGGCGGGACCAGCAGAAGCAGACAGCTGGCACGCGGGTGCAGGCCACCCGGAACCCCCTGCACCGACAGCCCACCTCCCTGGAGAAGCTCAGCTCTGTCTTCCTGCAGCTCACCCTGCAGGACCTGGGCATCTGCATCCCCATCAACCCTACCTTCCAGGCAAGTGGGCTTGGCCCCAGAGTCATAAAGTTCTAGAACCTGTCTTACCTCTGTGGTTCTTGGTCTGTGCCTTTGTATGACACCCAGTGTTCATATTCTTGAAGACATTGTTATCCTTAAGTGGGATTCCAAGAGTTCCAAATGTGACAGATTCCAAGTTATAGTTCTAGAACTTAGTTCTAGAACTGAATGAAGTATCCATTTTTGGATTACTAGAATTCAAACTGAGTATCCCTCTCTGACTTGATTTACCATGCAGTTACCTTGGAGTAAAAAATCCAGTAAGGAAAGTAAGGAAAGTAAGGAAAACAACCTGAGGCATACATGGAATTTAAAAAGTTTACCTAAACACTGTGACCTGAATGCCTTCAATTCCACTACCTCTAGTTATACATACAAATATGGTTGAAAGACTTTCATGAATTTGACCGTACGTTTGAGGTCACACGACGTTGTCATTCTCAGACTATCCGAATGAGACACTTAGGCTGTGTGGAGACTGTAAGACGGGTTTACAGGTCAGCTCAGTCTTGTACATCCTTTGCTGTGAACCCACAGAACATCTCTTCCCTCTCCGGTGGAATGCCGGAACCAGACTACCATTCGGCCCTGGTGCTGACCCTGGAGAGCTCTCTGATCACAGCCTGCTACAACAGGTCCCTGGTCACCAAGGGTTTCTTCCAGACTTTCTGCCTTCGATTTGCTGAGGACTTCAACACCTCGCTGGAGAACTGGAAACCACTCATCTACAAGGGACTCATGAATTCATGTAAGCGGAATATATTTGGCTCTTGAAAACACGGGGGATTTTAAAAGACAGCGCGCATCCAAGAGATTTCCACGGAGGGACCATTTTTGAAGTTTATAGGCAACAAAAACGAGTCTTAATTAAAACAGATACTCAAAACCAGTCTACAAATCTTCTACCCAAATAAACAAACAAACTCAGGAAAGAATTCAAGATCCCTGTGTGCCGCTGGGAGATAAAATTTGTCAACAGTTCCCACAATGCACTGTGAAAAACGGGCCTCTCCATTCCATCCTCTTGCTGGCGCACTGTTCTGTGAATCACCTGTATTCAATATCTATACAATATTTCCTTGGTTCACAGATAGCCAGCTTGTGACTCTGATCCCACAGAAAGTGTCTTAAATCCATTTTTTTTCTCGAGCTAATTATCACTCAGGTTAGTGTCCTGATGAAACTCTGGAGGGCTCTGCTGATGTGCATTGTGCAAAATTCTTTTTAATTCCTGTTAACCCCAAAGTGGGTCAGGTAACTTTGTAAAATACATGTACAAAATGCAGTCCCGATTAATATCTATCCATCTACCAATGCATTCCAGCTGTACGTTGGCGCACTCTGTGCTAACAATTACTGCATAAGTTTTCCCAGCATCATGATCTTTTCATCGGTAAACCGCAAAGTCCCGCTGTTCTGTTCTTGGACAGGCAACACATCTAGGTTGACAAGAAACAGAAGAAAGTAGGAAAAAGTTGCTCTAAGAAATAACAGAAAAAGGAAAATGTTGTTCACCTTGAAACGTACAATCCATGATTTGCAGCGATCCAAAAAAGTGACTGACAAAATTATTGTTGAAAAGCATACTTGGTTTAAAGACAGTTATATCTAAACTCCCTGTGAAATGATTCTTTCAGGCAAGCTGTCATTTTGGAGAAAACGGCATAATGACCATTTCCTACGAAGTGTCAAAGTGTGAAGACAGATTTATGGAAATCGCCATTACAAGTTGTGACAATAACAGAGAAATGTTCCAACCCCTCCCCCGTCTCTTTTAGGGTTAACCCTAACCCTCCTCAATCCTTCACCTGTTGGAGGACTGAGGAGTGTTAGGGTTAATGGCAAATTCAATCAGCCAGGGCTTTAACTGACTAATCTGTCTGGGTCAACCGATGTTGTTGACACTAAGTGGCTTGTTCATGTGAATGTTTGTCATTTGGTCGTAGGTGTTGTACCACAAGGAACCCTGGAGTTGTGCTCACGGACTGTCAGTGCAGACAGAACCGGTAGGAATTAAACAGCGTGATGAAATATCATTGGTTGGTCAGACGATTGTATTAACAAATGTGTGAGGATGGGAATAGAGCGGGTGTAGATGGATATACCGTGGTGTTTTTCTCAAGGCAGCTGATAGGTGAAACTGCCGACATGTCTCTGAACCTCCGCAAGCCAGTGAGTAGAGATGCGTGAACCGCCATTAGTTATGCGCACACATGACATGCTGGAAGTCTGCGGAGATCAACAGTGTCTTCAAAGTGAACATTGCTTGATGTGTACAGCCGTTATTGCAGCAAATATTGCTCTTTAGATGAAGGGAAAAACATGTTGAACTTTATAGTTGGTTAGATTTCTAAATAAAGACCGGGTGATATATAATTCAAAACAAGCTTTCACATTTGAAATGGCATAAATACAGGGGTTTGGCCCCATGCCTTCACATGAAATGTTGAAATGCGCACAACCCATGGACAAACAGTAGTTCATTGGTTTTGGTCCTCCCTTTGTGAAAACTGCACCCCCCCCGGATCCAACCCCCAAAATTTCACCCTAGTTACACCACTGCACGTTTATATTGAGAGGTTGTTGATTTAAGCCTTCTTTGGGTAGGGCAGAATCAGTCATTTTGATAAATTTGTCACTTTTGCTTTATTCTTTGTTCTGTTTAGGGTGCAATTTCTCAAATAGTTTAGATTTTTGATCTAAACTGTGGAGTTTTTAGAGGATTAGTCATGGCCTGCGAGATTTTAGCACTTTGAAAAAAAACAAAAAAATCACAACACTATACCCGGTTTATGTACTGCCCGTACTCCACTAGTTTCTTCAAATTGTTCACAATTTTCTTCCCGTGTTTCCCCAGACCCAGCCCAGACCTCCAACGCCGGCAAGTGGATGCTTAACTTCCTCTGGCGGATGGAGGGCTTTGACGTGCAGGTCAACCCCTCCATCGGCCGGCAGCTGTCGGCCCTAGCTAACACGTTGACTGCTTTGGCCGGGGACGATGATGAAGTGGACGTGGCTGACCTGAGCTCGGTGGCCGAGCCCCAGGACGAGCCGGACGGCATGATGCCTGCCACCAGTGTGAGTTTTCATCCATTTCCCCTCAGAGGGCAAGGATTCCAATGGCCCAAAAAAACTGCATTCTGCTTATCCTCAATAGGAATTGGACTGAAACTATTTCTAAATGTAACTACAAACCAGCTTTTGTGGAAGTGGGAGTCTATTGAGAAAACAAAAAATCAGATTTTGAAATAAGTATTCTGTCCTGCACAAATGGGTATGTCAGCGTGAAATTGACATGTTTAGGCGATGAAGCACATGAATAGAAAGGACATAAATAAAGCCTTCATATCGGTGTATCAGAGACCTCTCTTTTGGATGTTTTATGGCAAAATTATAATGCATGTTTCATTCCGTCCATTTCTGGCTTCTAAGCTGAAACGGGTTCATAGGAGATCTAACCAATTCTGCATCTGTCATGTGTATGCCCATGTGAAAGTTGTGAAGGGAGCGTCTCAAAAGTCGAGAACATTTTCAGTCCATTGGAACGTTCCTGTTTGGCAAAGTGGCATTCCTTTGGAACGTATTGCGTTTCCATTGGAAACATGCCATTCCTGCAGAGCATTCCATTGGGAACACGGCATCCCAGTGAGAATGTTCCAAGTGTTCTGAAGTTTGAGATGCTCCCTAAGTCTTGATAGACTTGTGTGCAGTGCTAATCCAGAGCTGAAATAGTTGTTCGCGGTACCCACTGCTACATCTGACTCGAACCAGCCAGCTTTCACCGGCAAGCTCGGTGGTCAAGTGGTTAAGACGTCTGCACTAGTAAGCAGGAGATCATGGGTTCGAGTCCCGCCCGAGTACACTTGTGATTTTTTTCACAAGCCTTCGGGGACAAACACCGAGTATACAGTGTCATAATACACATCAAGCAGGGCAAAAAAATCCAAAAAATAATTCAGAACTATGTGTGTATGGGGATAATCGATCATTGGAATTGCACTGTAAAGGTCTCAGGTTCGAACCCAGTGTAAGTCCCAGTTATTTATTTGTTTTTTTTCCACTTCAGGAGTCCAAGCCGGTGCTCAGGAGGCCTACCTCGTTGTTTGTCAGCAAGCAGGATGCCAAGCGACACTCCAAGATGGTCATGCAGGAAATGACAGAGCAGGCCAAAATTGTCAGCGACCTCAGGTCAGCATACAAATTCCTGCAACCTTTAACCTCAGAACTGGGAATTGGGCTTAAGTCTGGTCTTGGTGTCGTAATGCTGTGCACTACATTATGAAAACCGCAATGTAAGGATGTATCTGTGACATGTATGTCACATGTATCTTTTCAGGCGGCTGGAGGACTCAAGTGTTGTTAACCTTTGAATCAGGTTAAGACAAGTCTTTTACCCACAACTTGAGCTACTTCCCTGCAATTACTGGAGTCCCCTAAAATTGTGACTCAAGTTGGACTCACGTTGAGTCAGGGTTCAAATGTTTCCTTTGGAGTAAGGGAAGAATGCAAAATCAAAAGAGGTAGTAACTTGAGATTTACCTTGAGGTTTTACGTGGCTTAGAAAGAGAGTGTGGGGTACCTCAGGGAAGAAAACTTGAATTTCTCCTTTTTGAAGGTTTCATTTGCCCCTGATACACATGTAACGTGGAGGTACTGTTCCAGTTTGAAGTTTGACCAGAAACACTTGATAAATGGGAACATCCAAGCAGAAGGAAATTTCGTGAAGAATTTTCTTAGTTGTCATGAATCATCGTGTAAACGTGCCTGAGTAATTTTTATCTTCCGACGTTGCTCTTCGTGATAAGCTGACCTAAGTTTGATGTTGGTAGCTGATGTGAATTAGAGGGAGAGAACGGATACACTTGTGTAAAATATTGGAATAAATACAGCCATGTTTACCTGATTGTAAGGCAGAGCAACATTTCTATGTCGAAAAACTTCCAAAGTCCTTTTTTCTCGGTTGTTGTCTCATCAGAACTCTGGGTGCCAAGAAGGTCACCATAGCCGAGGAGCAGGAGAAGCTGCGGCAACTCGAGATGGCTGTCTTCAATGACTTCCGGCGAGACATCCGCAAGCGACTCCGTATGCAGACTATGAAGGTCAGAGGGCTGAATAAAAAGCACGAATAGGGGAAGACTTGTTATTACTAATCATTTGCTGCACCGATCCTGGTTCCAAACTCAAGTCTTACCTCTGCATATATGTACGCCCATTTAATACTTTCTAGTGGCTTAATATGCCAAAGCTTAAGACAGCTAATTTGAGTCATCTTGGTGTGAGGTGATGACTAGTGCCACTTTTTGAATTTGCACAGTTGGGCTTTCCTCATCTTTCTCACGAGCTGGCACAGATTTATTCCACAGTATTTGATGTTAGCCACTTGCTGCTGGGTGCTTTTAAAAAATGCAGTGCAAACATACGGGCCATTTTCTAGGTTTTCAGTTTTAAAAATTCTTGACAAATTCATCATTTCATTTAATGGATGTTTACACTCACGCTTTTGATTGCTTGGTTGCTACTCTAAGCTGCCAGGCAACCTTCATTGACTCCTGAGTATTTCAGCCAGGCCTGCCGCCCTGTAAAGAGAGCCCAGAATTGTGAGGTGTTGAGTAATTTCCTTTGTTCCTAGTGAATGTCACTGGCTTCTTTTCAAATGCGGCTGGATTAGCGTGCAGCGGTGCTGTGTCGTTTATCAATGGGGCCCTGGAGCACTTTTGTCTGCGGTGCTAATCCACAGGTCCGCTATGCCCAAAATAGTGGTATACTGTTTAAAAACAGTGACCAATTACCTTCGAAAAATGCAAGCCGTAAAATGATGGCAATTCCCAGCAGCAGGTCTTTTGTTCCGAGTACAGTCTTTTGTTACACGGACCAGCTCTTTTGTCCAATTTCGGGCAGCCTAGCTCTGCGTTTAAATCCATGGTGCCCAACACGGGGTTCCCAACAGCAAGTGGTCAATGAGAGCAGTGGTATAATAGGCAAATGCATTGATGACGTCACACTTTGTTTTACATGCGCACTTTCTTTATGGAGCCATTAAGGGGACCAGGGTCCACTGAGCACCCTTCGAAAGCACACACATAAATGACATTAGAGGTCTACACGGAGCCGTAGGTGTAGACGACTTGCCCTTGAAAGTGGAAAGACTGGCACTCCATCTGGTGATTAGGACAGTTACTTTGAGCTCGATGCTGTAGCGTGTTTTGTTAAACTCAGAACGTTTTGCATCTCATTTTTCTTCAGGCGTCCTTGAGGAGCAAGCTGACAGCAGGGCTTCCCAGGTCCCCAGCGGGTGTGCCGCGCCAAGCTAGCGTGGGCGGTAGGACAGCCTCCCAAGGGATGTCCGCTGCCCCAGTGACCGGAGCCAAACCATTCTCAAAGTACGTCTCCAGATCAAATTTAGTTACGAGATGATCACTGTGTCGCCATCTCTTGATATGAAGCCTTGAATAGAGCTTGAAGTATGGGTTTTTCTATATCATTGTTGAACAATTTCCTTTGCCAAGGAAGAGCCTTGACATTCCTGTTATTGCAAAAGAATGCTCTAGGGTTGAAAAGTTGTTGTTTCTTGTTGCATTTCTTGTTGCATTTAGCCGTGAACACAAATAGCAGAGTACACTGTGTAACTTGATGAGGCCAAGGCTTGTGGGAAGGCCTCCACCGGGTTAAGGGGACATTTTGATTTGTCATGCAAATTAGGACCAAACTGTGGGGACAACAGAATGTAGCAGAATTGGGAAAAGTTGTGTAGTGTTGCATTTCAACAGTTCGTATAAGTGGCAGAGTACACCATGTATCCTTATAATGCCACTGCAGAGTGCCAGAAAACCTGTGGATGCATTTGTTTGCATTTTAGCTGAATTGTCATTTTCGGCTGTGTTACATTCTGTGGCATAAAGCAGAGTTTCCCATTCCAGCTTTGTTGCATTCTGTTGTAATTTCAGCAGGGTTCCCATTTCAGCTATGTTGTATTCTGCAGCTTTCAGCAGGGTCACCATTTCGACTGTGTTGTATTCTGCTGCATTCAGCAGGGTCTCCATTTCGGCTGTGTTGCATTCTGCAGCATTCAGCAGGGTCTCCATTTCGACTGTGTTGCAGTTAGCAGGTTTCTCATTTCAGCTGTGTTGCATTCTGTTGTAATTTCAGCAGGGTTCCCATTTCAGCTATGTTGTATTCTGCTGCATTCAGCAAGGTCTCCATTTTGGCTGTGTTGTATTTTGTTGCATTTAGAAAACTACTTAGAGAAAACAAAATTGGGGCAAGGGTAAAAGAAGGATGGTAAAATTCCCACACTAGGGTATCTGTTTTTAAGCTTTAGCTGACAGTTCCCATTTTTCAAGATAATGATGAAAGGCTTGCAACACAAAGGTGGCGCTGTAGGCATTAGACCCTTGTTGGTTTGAGTGGCAGATCGACTACAAATCTGTCCACAGCATAAGGGCATATTGTTCATCATGAAAAACTACTAACTAGTCATCATTTTTTGGCCAAATGTGCTCTCAGTGTAGCTTTGTTGATGTCTCAATGTGGTCATATTACTTTTGGTACTCTTAAATGCAAAGATTTTTGTAATATTTGGCACTGGAGTCATTTTCTGTCACTTACCAAGAGTTGGGTTCTGTTGCCATCGTACAGTGCCGTACGTCAGACATGTTTCTTGTTTCATGTTTCAGTTGTGTTCGTTGGAAAGATTTGTAGATGCTTGCACAGCATGTTTTTCTTGAGTCAGATGGTTTTGTACACACTACTGCATTTGCATGCAACAATTGCTTTCAGCCTGCTTGAATCGTTCCATCCAGGCCAAGAAGAATTGACATGTTACATCAACTGGCTGTGGCTAGCAACAGCACACATGTGCTATGGGAAGTGACTTTAGCCATAGCCATAGATGCGTGCATTACTCCAAGCTGTAGCCAAGTACTTTGGATGCAGCGCCTCTTTGCCAGGGGCTACTACACCCTCACCAGTTGGCTAGCTAGCGGTGTAGGATACCATCCTAACCTAATTGTTGTATTACTTCCGAATTTGCAACCATTCTTTACGTCCAGATCAGGGTCCCGGCTCGCAGTGTTTCGTCCGAGAGCAGTTTCGGACAGTCCCAACGAGCACTCCTTGACTCGCGACCGGCTCCTCCCAATTAGCCCGTCAGTATATGACTTCAACTGTACTCACTGACACGCACCAGAGATGATCTCCTCTCCCCCATCACACTCACTACTCATCTGAGTTTTATTTTCCCCTCACAGTGGGCACTGACAAGCAAGTTTTGCACGGGCTCAGCACAGTAGAACACCACCGTACAGAAAGTCTTGAAACTGTTTCTTTGTGATAAGAATTATACAAAAAGTGGCACTTGAGTGACTTCATGTGTCACAATCATGTGACACGTGACTTTTCAGACGATTGAAATTTCAACTGTAAAAGACAGCATTCGACAGAAATTTGGCAGAACTTTCGCAGTGGTGTTCCACTGTATGAATCTGATATCTACTTTCTATGTAGCAGTAAGCTATTTCCCAGAGTTGTGGCTCAGTACTTTCCAAATACCAAGGTTACTGCCAGCTGTTAGGATGGTTTGATGAGATCAGTGGCAAGAGCAATTGGTTAATCAGAATCCATTCGCAGTGGAACTACGTTGTGAAGAGTCTTCGGAAGTTTATTGTTTATTTAGTATCTTTTCATCCATCAGCGCATTTTGTGCCAAGTACAGGATGAAGTGAAAAGGAGACAGTGTTCAGTTTTGGAGGTGGGAGGAAAACCCAGTTTAAATATTCCAGGGAAAACCCCACAGAGTCAGGCAGAGACTGAAAACACAACCCACATGCTGACCGAGGTGGGATTCGAACCTTTGTCACAAAGGTGGAAGGCGAGGAAAGAGCCACTACACCAACCTGACTCCCCTTAAGTTCTCACCGAGTACTTAGCAAGTACTCATATTCTGTAGTTTAAAAGAATTTCTGTGTATCTAGAGTCCAGAGTCCATTTTTCTCTGATGATGTGATTTATTGTTTATTATCAGTGTGTCTGTATCTTTATTCACAACAAGAGCTCAAAGCAGTAAACAAAGAACTTGGAAAGTACTCGACCGCGACTGTACTCTTCACTCCATGCATATCATGCCCCCACAAAAAATACTGGGACATTACTGTGCATTGCCACATAAGCGACATTTTCTTCCACCTAGCTACTTGCAAAGTTACTGAAATCAAAAGAGATACATGTAATCTTTTGGTATCTTGGTAGAGTAAGTACTATATCACCCATGCATAATTACTGTCTGTAGCAATTTTTTTTTTAAGTTTTAAGAATGTGCTGTTGGTTCACAGCTCAGGAAAGATTTTCAAGAACTTTCATAGAAAAAAATGGCTGGGATATAGGGTCAAATAGTCCTCACGGCAGTTTTGTACACATTCAGTTGAAAGTTGGGCATGCACACTGTGCACCTTCAACTGTGGCTTTGCTTGCCAGGCAAACAGCGCCCTCGGCAAGTAATGCATGGAGTGAATAGTCTTTCTCTTGTGTCTCACTTTCATTTTACTGTAACCATTGCACATGATACATCACTGTGATCAGTTTCCAAAAGTTTGCCTTTGGCAATCAAGAACACAGGTAAAATTAGAGTGGGCATTGTGCACTGAAGAATAAAAAGGTTGGAAAGAAATTCACCCTGTTTGAGGAGTTATTTGCATGTTAGGAAAATGCCAGGTTTTTGCTTATTTTGTGCATAATTAGCGGAGCTGAAGTCTGTGATCTTCACTTGAGACTTGCTGGATACTTTGACTTGTGAACTTTTTGCAATACATGCAACGTTTTTATTGCATCTAAGCCTGAAAATATCAATCAGACCATAAAACAGGTGAATTTGCAAACATTGAAAGAAAAATGTATTTTGAGCCCAGACTTTACTTTTCTAATGGCCGAAGTAGGCAACATGATTTTTCCAGACATAGTACGGCTATAGGCTTGTGTACTGATGACGTCACTTTCTGTTTACGCACATGTGCACTTTCCTATGGAGCCAGCGGGGATCCACAGGCCACTGAACAGCATAGGAAAGTGTGGTGTCATCTGTGCAGGGGTCTATTGGAGTTGTCAAATAACAAACACTTTGCAACTTGAGTCTGTTCAATCTCACCCCATTTACATGGTTCATGTATGAAGGAACACAACAGAGAGATCTATACTGTAACCAAGTGCACAGAACCGGTATCTTATACTCAATCTTTTTCTCATGTTTTCTTTAACAAGTGGTTCACTTTCCTTGGCATATATAACCCTATTCTTTTTCCACCCATACTGACATTGTGTTGACCCTCACCTCAGTTGAAATCTGCATTTATAAATATTTATGGAGCTGCATCTGTGCGTTTGCTCATACATATGCAGTGGTTGGACCCATTTTCACAAGCCTATGCATTTCCTTTAGGCAGTTCTTGAAAACTGATTATGTCAACAGTAAGTTGAAACACAGTGTTTTAGAGCCGGTTTTTGGTGTTATCTTTATCTTTTTACTCACCTTCTGACTTTTCAAGACTGGTCCACGGTTTCTTGTGTTTACATTTCTGAAATTTGTGGAAGATTTTGTACAAGCATCAGAGCAGTGCTGTGGCACCCAAATTTTCACAAGACAGAGTTGTTTACTATTCAGCAACAGTGGTCATTGTGTAAACATTGGATGTGCTTGGTTCAAAGCAGATGCAGTGTTTGTAGTCAAGCACTTTCCGAGTACCAAGGTTCTCAATATCCAGCAAGAAATGAGACCGAGGGGTACCCCCTCCGTGTCCAACCGCTATACACACTCTACACTATTGTTATCTAACACATCCCCCCCAGATGTCTGAAAAGAATTCCTCAGATTCCAGTGAGACAGTGACCAACACAAAGTGGGGGGGGGGTTCTCTCTGTCTCATATCTTGCTTCATATGAGGTTTTCCGCCAAATGTTGAACTGGCTAAAAGAGAATGAAGCTAGACTTACATACTGTACATTTGATGGTAGATGCACAAAAATAAGGTTGTGACCTAAATGTGAGACTTCAGACACTCCCAGTTTTATAAAATTTAAGTTTAAAGGAGAACAGTTCTTCGGAAGTACTCGGCTAAGTACTTTTCTAGTTCTTTGGTCCTAAAAACTTAATTTTTAATAAATGATGATGGTCTTGAGTCATTTTACTTTGTAGTCTTGCCTTTGTGCATTCACCATCAAATGCTCTTCAGCTTTGTTCCCTCCTAGCCAGCTAGTTGCATATGTGGCAGAGACCTTGGTACCTTGAAAAGTACTTAACTACGACGTTTTCAAGATTGTGACTGCTCATCACCAATTTTGTGTATTGTCAGACCCGGTTACAAGACTCCCATCGGCAAGCGGCCGCAGGCAATCTCTGAATACACCCCCCACCCCTCGCACGTCACCTTCAACCTCCCCCGCAGCACCCCAAGTCCCCTAGATGAGCTGCCGCCTTTCGTCACGGGCACTTCATCGGTCGGCATACCGCAGACCGAGCCCAGACGACGCATCCGCAGCATCGGCAGCCCCGAGTATGCCGAGCTGAATGCCACCATCTCCGACCCGACAGACATTGAGCGGGACCTGACTGCACCCGCTGGCAGCCGTGCCCGGCGACGCCTCCTGCAGCTGCACTCGGGCTCAGTGCCAGAGGAGATGGACAGTGGCAGCGAGGGATCGGACCACGAGGAAGATGGCGGTGTTGCGCCCCAGGTCTCACAGAGCTGGTAAGATTTGTAATAAGACAGTCCCAGCATATCACTAGTAAGGTCACAGTTACTGAAATAATGCCTACTGGATTCAGTTGAATAGCTTGTGACTTGACTGGAAACTGGATTATTTGTAATTGTGATAACTTTGATGGCATATGATGACCCTCAATGATCTGTGATGATTTGTGATATGCGATGAAGTGTGTGACTTACAATGACTTGTGGTCACTTGTGATGACGTGATCACTTTTGATGACCCTGTACTACCTTGTGATGACTTCTAATGTGGTGATGATTTGTGGTTACTTGGGATGATAGCATGCAACAATGGCATGCAATAACTCCAGACATATAAAATTTTTGGCCAGGCCAAGACCTAGATCTTCCAGCAGCCAGCGTCGAGGCCGGACCGGCCTCCACATTGACCCCAAGCTGCAACTGCAACAACAGCACCAGCAGGCTCCCGTCTCGCCGGCCCACTCCACCAAGGTGGAACCCCCCACCGTGGACTTTGAGCTGGACGTGAAGTTCAACATCGATAGCGGCATGCTGGTGCTAAACTGCCATGGGATGGAGGAGCAAGGAGACGTCTCCATCATGGGGTGGGTCTTTGTTGAATTTGGGCGTAGGTCTTTGTCAGAATTAGGCATAGGTCTTTGTCGGAATGGATGCAGGTCTTTGTCAGAACTGGGTGTTGGTCTTTGTCAGAAGTGATATGAGGGCAAGAGGCATGATGCCTGCCACAAATTTTGTGATTTACCTTAAAAATGCTTACCATTTTGCTTCCTGTCAAGATGCCAATTAAAGAAGTGTATTGCAGTTAACAAATTTAATATGATTTTAAGATGGCTAATCAATATTACCTCCCCTCGGCACCAAATGTTGACAAACTAGTACTACCTGACAATAAACCATGGTATGTAAGTTCTACTAAACCTTACATATATGTGGCCTGCTCCAGGAAAAGGTGATATATGTCGCACCAGGCATTTACGAGCAATGACCCGCTCAACCATGTCAACGTTGGATTAAAAAATTCCTTTTCTTTGACAAAATCATTGAAAATACTAATTCCTTAGTCCTTGTGCGAATTTTGAGGGTGGTTGTAACACAAGAACATGTTGGTTGATGAGTAAGATTTAAATGCCTACAACCCACATCAGAGCCAGATATTTCAAAGCCTGTTTTCTCGGTTTTGCAATTTCAGTTGCCTGGAACTAATTAATATGCAAATGTGTCATAACTCCGGAACGGGAAAGGCTACGGAGCTCTGTCATATACCAAATGAAAGCTTACAATGTGGGCTTTCCAGTCAAGTATATAACTTGATTTTTCAGGGTTTTTTTGCAACTTATATCACCTTTTCCTGGAGCAAGTCACATATTCTGCACTGTCACATCATTAATTGCAGGAAAATGTTTGATAACTCATTTGTAGCAAAAATATGCTTACAAATATAATACTTTTCTCTTGCAAGAGTTTCAGGAATGCTTGATAAAGTATTTGATGCAGAGTACTAAAGTGATTACGTCATGTGCACAATTATGTGTGTAAACTGCATTAGCGTGGGACGCGGGCACCCGTACGTGAACCAACACGCCCTCACACTCCATTCGTTTGCACTGCACTTCCTGGTTCAAAATGAAACCACGCTCCGGTACTCTGCGCTAGACTAGGCCAGCTGTGTAGACTACCACACTTGCATATTTAACCAGTGCATGGATCCTCTCATGCACATTTGGTAAACAGCAAAAAACAGCGGCTGACACCGTGCCAATTCTTCTCCTTTGTCCCCCAATTTTTCCTCCAGACGCACTGGGGATGCACGCAGGCCACCCGGCCTGTACGATGACATCATCACCACTCACGCTAGACCCTTGCTCAGCCGTCATCCCTCCCCGGGCTTGATGGAGCCACCCAAGCAATCCGTCTTCTACCTGCCGGCCTTTGATGTCAAGGTGAGGAGTTTTTAAAAAACTGAAGAGTTTATTTACTTTTAGACGTCAGTTTTTCAGGAAATACTAAATTGTGCACATGAAATATATGAAACTGGACAGAATAACGGTTAAGGTTTGTGCAGCTTTAAATTGTCTGAAGAGAAAAGGAAAATTGAGTCAGAAAGAGAAATATCCTTTCACAGGTAAATTTCTCTTTTACATGTCCTGTAATCTAAGTATAAAGCTACAGAATGTTTATGTGGGGTGGTTGGTGCTTAAAAAATGTGGACATTTAAGTTTGCTGAATATTCCTCGGTAACCGTTCATCAGTTTACTTATCAAGCTTTTAATGTAGAAGTTAGAATTGTGTGTTTTTGAAGGCTTGAAGACTACGGCCTTTATTTAGGCAAGTATTCAATTCCGGCTTTCCATCAAAAGCTATGTGTATGCTGCTTATAAGTTATCCAAGTTACTTTTTTTATATTGGTTATACATCAAAACTACACTGGACAGAAAAAGAAACTTGCCACTTCTGTCGAAGGCCACACGTGAAAATTCACTCCATAGAAATAAACAGTTTTTGTACACAGGTGTGCTGCAATACCCCTTACTAATCACATGCCCAAGAGCGAGTGATTATCTTTATAACAAAGAAGAAATTGACATGCACAGCAACTTGGTTACTGAATCAAAAGTCACAGAATGTAACAGAATGAGCCGTGAGTTTTACGCCGAAATCAATGTCACAGGACGAAATAAAGAAGTCACAATCATTACTTTGCAATAATGTGTATGCATAGTCAGTAAGGATGGCATTGTGCTCCTGCACATCATTTTGACAAAACAGGTGTTCACTTTGTCATTGGTTGTTTAAAATCTTGTCCATTCATGGGTCATTTTTGCTTGGTGGAGAGTGCTTTTGTGTGTGAGCAACAAAATAACGAGTACCCAAAATAGTCTGGCACCACCCCTATTTAACAGATTACATCGAATGTGATAGATTCAGGGAACACAATTTAAAATGGCTTACACGCAAATTGGGTCTATTCCATACAAAATTGGAAAATTGACCATGCTGTGACTGACTTCATTATCCAGGTAACCATACATGTAGGTAATTCTTGTACAAAAGAAGTTTTTGTGAAAAAGACAGGAGAAGCAGTAAGCAGAATGACTGCCTTTTATTGCACTCTAATTTTTTGGTGAAACTGTCTAGTGATTGTGAATTATAATTAATGAGGTTGCTGACAGCTTGACCACATTTTCCACATTCCTGTGGAATTGCCCTCTGTTTCAGTGTTAACGTTAATATCATCCAGAGAAAAAAATAGGTGGCAGATTGCAGCAACCCACTGTTGACAGCATTAAGGCCAAAAAGTTCGTCTCAAAAAAAAAAGTAATTAAAAGATAATCCCAAACTGGTCCATGCTTTTTGATCTGGTTATATCCTTTCTGTTATACACTTGCGGAATAGGTTTTGGGAATTCATTTGAAGCCATTCCACAGCCTACATGCTTGGCCAAAACTGTTGGGACATGTGGCAGTAGCCATATGCCCTCCCCAGGTGGCCCATTGCCCCGGTCAGTGTTTGTCATCTCAAGCTGGAGCACAGACCACGCACTGAGACCCAACAACGAGAGGGGGCCCGGGGGTGAAGGGCCCAGTGAGATTTAACCAGGACTGTAGCCTGGGTAGGATTCAACCATTTGCCTAACAGGACACCTTATCCATTTAGTACATAACCTCTCTTTTCTGTAAGAGTGGAAGTAATTTGTTCACGGAGTATTCTGAGCAGCCTGCCTTTTGTGTCCAATCCATGTGTTCACAGTTGCACTACCAGTCATCGGTCAACAGTGGGACGGCCGGCCGAACCAATGACTCAGATCGAGAGAGGGAGCCCCAGCAGGGGACCACCAGTAGTGCGGCCGACACTTCGTCAACAGAGGGCAGCATCGACAAGAAATCCCAGCACGGCAGCAAGCAGGCTGTGCTGTACACGTGGTTCATGCTAACATCGCCCCCTAAGGTACGGCAACCCGAAAGTGTTTATTAACTGCTGGTTGACAGAATTACGCCTCTAATTGGTCATTAGCACCATATTATAGATCTCTCTCACGCTCCATCTTTGTAGAAAATCAGATCTGTGTATTCTACGCCGCCAAGTACACGATGTGTGAAATGTTCCATACGCGCGCGCAGGTGTTGATCCAGATATCTTCAAAATATGGCGCAGCCGATGTGCGTCAAAAAATTTATGTCCAAAATGCCGATACACGTGGCAATTTGTAGGACGTGACGTGAGGGACCTTCTTGAAGTCAGAAATCTCATCTGAGGAAAGTTACAAGACATGACGGTTCTCTGACTGTTCCTTATTTGTCTTACAGGAGGTGGTGGTGTCTCTGTCGTTGTTGGATTTTTTGGAGGAAGCCCTGGAGACGGTGCCCACATCAGCAGCTACTGCCCAAACGAGTGGTAAGGAAAAATAGCCATCAACCTCATACCCAGAAAAGCATCACAATCAACCCCATCTGTGACTGACCCTAACCCTGACTAATCCTCCAAACTACCCCATAAGAACCATCTTCAGTGTACTTCGCATTACGTTACATTTTGCTCCAGTCTGTGTCCTTGTATAACCAAGTCAGTTTTCCCTCGTGGGTTTGAACTTGAGACTTCTTTCCGCCAATTAGAGGATTTGTCTGAGATTTGGATCTTGTTGACATTGACGTGGTTAGGTTGAGTGTGAACGGTCTAACCTCCAATTTCTGCCTAGTTTGTGGGCATACCCTTCTTTTGGCTCGGATGACTGAGAGTCTGAAAGTCTGCTCATACTGAGAACAAAGTGTGTATGATGAAACTGTGATAACTCAGACCTCCATTTGTCCTGGTCTTGAGTACCTTATTCCGATGAAGCAAGTCGTGACATTATTTATGTAAATATCTCTTCAGTTCAGATTGCCCCTTAGCGGTGCCTCTGTTTAACCCAAACTTTTGCCTAGCAAATTACGGTAGAAGTTATTCATGGAGAAACGTGTTCTACACTTCATTGTACTAATTGTATACAGGACTGTGGCCAGATCGATAATCTTGCTAAAGTGCAATGCCAGGATCTTTGAAATTTGTGTCCACTCCCCGCGATTTGACTCTGCAAGATTTTACTGTACATTATAAAAAACAGTAATTCAGCGTTTCCTGGTGCAGATTTGACCCAAAGCGTGGAAGACATTGGTGTGTCGGCCAACTCCTTGGTGTCTTCGTCCACCATGGATTCTAGCACGTTCCCTGTGGACGTCGTGGTGTATGTTTGCCTGAAGCCATCTGTTATTTGCCTGAGTTGTCTGCCTGCCTCTAAGGTACATGTAGGTCCACAAGTTTCAGCCATTGAAAACAAAAGATGTACACCGAAAATGTTCGTAACTTCCATCTCTAAAATCACAAGCGGATTTGTAACACAATGTAAGAGACAGTTTTCAAATTGGAAAACAAATAGAATTGAGATTGAAATATTAAGGCAACGCTGATCCTTGCTGTTCATGCTTTTCTATGTGTACAATGTTTGCGCATCCCTTACCTCCTACATTGCTACTTGTGCTATTAAAGAAAGTCCCTGTCACTTATTCTGTCTTTCCACCTCAAGGAATGACACTTGTGGCACTTTCAACAAAGATCAAAACAGCCAGGTTGGACTCAAGCCCGCATTGTGCACACACGATCCTGACTTAAGGGAACCAGACCACAAGACCACCACAGTGTATAAAGTCCCGGACTCCGCCCCTGATGCTGACAGTAATGACATTGTGGTTTTTTTTCTTCATGCTGACAGGTGGAATGTCTTCTAAAGCTTCCCACTGTCGAGTTTGCCTTCTCGTCGAGAGGTAGCAGTCAGACAGATCACCTGGCTGACAGCAGTACGGTGTTAGATACCTCACATTCATCCACTACATCCAAAGGTAGGTTGCTGTCAGCAAAAACATGGTGTGATGCTCCTCTTTCTCCGTAACTGTGATCATTTTACTCGGGGATTCAATCTAATCGGTCACTAATCAACACCACAAGTAAAGTCACAGGTAGTGAAGTAACAGGCAGTGTTGTAGGCGGGACTTCAGTGAACCATCACAAGATTGACACAAAACCAACACAAGACCAACACGAGGCCCACCAAAGACGGACACTAGACCGATGTGAGACCAGCACACAATCCATCATAAACCAACACTAGACCAATAGGAAACCAACACAAGACCCACACAAGACCAACACGAGGCCCACCAAAGACGGACACGAGACCGATGTGAGACCAACACACAATCCATCATAAACCAACACTAGACTAATAGGAAACCAACACAAGACCAACATGAGGCCGACCAAAGACGGACACGAGACTGATGTGATACCAACACAAGATCCATCAAAAACTAACACCAGACCAATACGAAACCGACACAAAATCCACATAAGACCTACACAAGACCCACGAAAGACCAACAATAGACCAAAGCAAGATCCATCCATCCCAACACCGAGCCAACACATTACCCTTACAATGGCTGTGCAAACTATGTTACAGAATTAAATTTTTCTTTCAAATACTTTAGTAGCGTATTTTTTTACTAAAGTTTACATTTGTTAAATACATAATGTGATTTTTATGTAAAATGTACTAAGAGCTGAATAAAAATGCCAGGCAGGGACGAAAGTGTAATGTTTGTCAGATTCTTGCATCTTTTCTTGGGTCTATGTTCATCTCTTCTGGTGAATTTCTTAACAGGGAGCAGGGTCACATTGACTGGGGACGTATCAGACCGTGTTGGCCTGAGCATCGCGGCTGTCATGTCAGACTTCTCTCTGTATGTCTTCCATCCGTACGGAGGGAGCCAGCGCCGAGAGAGATTGGTGGAGGAAATGGAAAGCCGAACAGGTTAGGATCGTATCTCGTGCAAGAACAGACCACAGTTTGAAGCAAAATATTTGAATACTCTGTTGTAAGTTTAAGACGACACAAAGCACACTGACAATGACAAAAAAGTGGAGCTGGAGGTTGACATGTCATGTTTTTATATGTGGCATTTAAAAAAAATAGCTTTTCAAATTTGATTGCCTTTTTATATTACTCTGCTTTATAAAGCTCTAACTTTATAACTTCACTGTGTTCATGAATGTGTAATTTGACAAACAGATGTTGGTAGTGAGGAGGGCAACGTGCCTTGGACCACTCCATCCAGAAAGGATGCCCTCTCCCTCAAAGTGGAGTTCATCAAGATCAACATGTCGCGCTCCCGCAAGCTGGTAACCATGCCCTCTGCCTCAGCTGCCTCCATAGATCAAGGTGTGGAGACCTTGGCTGGCGCCCGACAGGACCAGCTGCACCAGGAGAGGCGGGACACTGACCTGTTAGCCGCATCCCAGCAGCAGCCACGCCCGCTGTCGCACCAGCAGTCTCCACCCTTCTTCCGGGATGAGCGCCCCAAGTCACCAGCTTTGTCTTCCTCGCCAAGCACGTCACAGAATAACAACCAGTTTTCAAGTAAGTGGTCGTGTAGTATTCCGTCTGTTCCCTATTTTCTGCATGGCAAGAGTTACACTTTCAGTGATAGATCTTCTGTATTGTGAATGAGCAAGGTTGGTATTTCAAACTGCTAGGTCATTCAAGGATCTGCCTCGAGCAGAAGCACCCCCCCTCATCAGTTGAAAGAGCCATGTTGATGGGGAATGTTCGTTTTGCTGGTAGCGATGCGACCGTTAACACATGCATTTCATAGTTCATGAATCGGTGAAATGCAGTTCCAACCAAGGGAGCCCCCGTTGCTAGGAAATTAGCGCCCTCTCTTGGTCCTGCTCAGGGCTCATAAAGCACCTGATGTCACATCCCATTGAACCATGTTTAAGTTCATGTGAGTCAGCGTACAGCTGCTCTAAGATGGCCGACCTCACATGCGGGTATCGATGTACTTGAATGACCCATGACACACTTCATTTTGAGCATTTTGCTCTCTGAAATGGCTCGACTTAAACGTATGTACCTTCATAACTGTAACCCTGTGCTCTTATCTTGAGAGAAATATGAAACTTGTTGAGCACTGTAGAAATGTGTTACGTGGAAAGAGGAAAAGAAATACCACATGTACACGATGGAAACAGTTGAAAAGGGGAATTCTTGAGGGTTTTAATCCTAATTGAGAAGGATCTGAGTTTTAAACATGGCCCAGTAATGAAGAAGAAAAAGGAATCAGCCTCGAATTCCAAGTGCTTTATACAATAAAGTTTGCATTCTTGTATGTCAGGTTAGTGTTAAGCCTAGTTTCCATATGGTCGTTTGTAATGCAGACAGAATGCAAGGCATGAATATGCAGACACAAATGGGATAGATGGTACTGTGCATGACGTCATTGCACCCAAAATGTGAAACAAAATGGCATCTGAAACTCCACGATTTTTCTCGGAAAATGTGCTTTTGGATTTACTACACCGCTTCATGAAGCCAAACCTGTATTCCATTTTCATGCATTTCATTGATGGTCAGCTAGTTAGTTGATTATAAGGGTGTAATATATAAGCATTGGGGAGAAAATCGACAAAATTCGTGGAACTAAGCAAGAGGGACTTTGTTGCACGCCGATCACACCAGCATTCGTGCTTGTGTGGGGATACCATGGCTACTTGACGTAGACAGCAAAGTTGAACCTGGCTCAACTTTGCAGGCTCGTTTGTGGGCTGGTTTGCGCTTGTCTGCGTTGTTGGTGAGGACATGTTTCCATATGTCCTTGTTGCAATGTGCGTCATGATTGCGTTGCTCTCTGCGTTTCTTACGTCGATATGGAAGCCAGGCTTTAGTACTTTAAAGTACACATTCAACATTGTCTTGATGCTTAAGCTTCTACTGTTTGATATTTGCAAGCGGTCATGGTGTCCAATATTTCCTTTTCAATTAGTTCTGTGTGACATCGGCACAGCGGCCTTCAAGTACGACATGCGACGCCTGACTGAGATCATGGCCTTCCCCAAGGCCTGGTATCGCAAGAGCATCATGAAGCGGATGTTCCTCGGTGAGGAGCAGACGGCACAGGAGAGCGATGACCAGCCATCATCAGGTGAGAAATGAAAGCGTGTGGCCTGTTCTGACAAAACGAGGCACTGTGTCATTTTAGTGCAAAGTCATGCAGTCGGCCATTGAAACTTAATGTTAAATTCAGACTTGTTTCTTGTAAATTCTTATTTTAGATATAGAGTGTTTTGGTTTTTATAAAATGGCTCTATTTGGTGACTCATCGTCAAGCATTCTTGGTTTTGCTGGTTTGTTCTAATGAATCTCAGCATGGATACCTCAGTCATTTACAAATTGAATTTGAAAGTTTTTAATTTTGGTTGTTTTTACCTTTAGTTGACGTTTTGCACATTTTTTGCCATTCCATCAAAATGCGTCAAGCTTTTTCAAGTGAAAAAAAAAAGTTAGATCTTATTACCACAGTATTCTTCTGTGTGTGGTGATATACGAGATGACTTTTCATTGCTTTGCCACCTACGAAATCCATTCATCAATATCAGTTTTGTAGCATTTTGTAAGGAGTGGAAGATTTGTTTCTAAACGTAATATTACCACGACTGTGTTGTGAAATTTTCACACACGATTTTCTGGCTTTTTGTTTTTGGATCCCTGCAAATCCAGCTTCCGTGAGTAGTAGTGCCACGTCGTCGGACTACGAAGATGACTACTCCCCACAGAAGGTGCCCCATGTGCTGAAGAAGCACACCCCCTCCCTCAAGCGAGACTTCCCCTTCCCGCCCCCCTCCCCCAGTGTCTTCAGCGTCCACTCTCAGCATTCCAGCCCTGCCACCTCGGACGCTAAGAGCGTGCCGTCCGTTGCAGGTATGTCCCCCCATCGTTGCCCCTGACACAATTAGTGTTTCATGTGTTTCATTAATGGTCGTGATGTTTTGCCACTAAACTTGGAGCATTCAAAACACAAACGGACCAATTAACAAAATGCTGCCAAGCACAGAAGTCTGCTCAGCTTTACAGAAGGAGCAGTTTACCAACCGAAAATGCTTTTTAAAGCATATTGCCCTTTTAATACTGGTTACCGGCTGATTTGACCTTACAACATGAATCCGACAATTAGACTGTTTGTAGTAATGGATGTGCTGGCATTTTCCATGCGTATACTCAATGGCACATGTATGGATGGCTTTGAATTGTAGTAAGAATGCATTGGAAAAACCGAAAGCCTTGAAATAACCCCCTTGCTGATTGGAAAATAGTATTTTTGCCGTCGTTGTGTTCAATTTGTCATCTCGATACAATTGAAAACAACCCAATAAATATGCATATGTGGGTACTTTCCAGGTAAAGAGGGTGCCCTGTGTATATGTCGTGAACGGTCAATACATGAAGTACTTAAGATTGGTCAAAGAGTACATGTAAAGTACTTGAGTGGCACTCAACCCCAACACTGGTTTTCTGGTTCAGCTGTGCAGCACCGACTGGCCAAGGAAGCCCCCCAGGACAGGGACCACAGCCTGGCCAGTCTGCCCTCGGACTCGCTCCGTCGCAGCGGCAGTGGTAGCGGCACCAGCAGCTCGGCCGGGGGGACGGTCAAGGCCGGCCCTACCTGGCACACCAGCGTCCGGGTGGGCGTCAACTTCACCAAGCTGGACATCCACATGAACATGAGCAACGTCATGGGAAGCACGGTGTAAGTAAACTTGTTGTCCTTATCTAGCGGGACTGTCAAGTAATGGGAGACTTTGAGACACTATGTGGCAGCGAACATGCTGTTCTCACGTGACCAGTACACTACTGTTTGAAGCACTCCTGGGCCAGTGTGCACATGCTCAGTATGACACAGATTACTATTACTGTTACTATTACTATTACTGTTACTGTTACTGTTACTGTTACTGTCACTGTCACTCTTACTGTTACTGTTACTGTCACTGTCACTGTTACTGTTACTGTCACTGTCACTGTCACTGTTACTGTCACTGTCACTGTTACTGTTACTGTCACTGTTACTGTCACTGTCACTGTTACTGTTACTGTCACTGTTACTGTTACTATTACTGTTACTGTTACTGTTACTGTTACTGTCACTGTTACTGTCACTGTTACTGTTACTATTACTTTCTCCAAGCAGGAATAAAAGAGGGCGTGTTTTGAAATAAAATTGACAGTCATCTGGTATGCACTCACTGCACAGGCGCGCAAGTTTATGGGCGTTTGATGAATTTATTCTTGAATGGTCTTCTACGGTCTTTTCGTGCATGCCAAACGCATGCAAGAAACTGGTTGGAAACGTTTGTACCACCCATCTTTCTTTTGCCGGTGAGGGTGCACTTCAACTCAGGGCGGATTGCAGTGGCTTCCAATCTCAGGGAAACCGTGCATTCAGTTGGTACATTGGCTTCTTTTGATCGGACCTGATACATGCGCTGGTTTAATTTTCCGGGCAGAGGTACCCGCTGCTTTTATTATCGCAGATGAGAAATGTGATATTGAAGGAACTTGAGCACCAGTTATCGACTGATTTTTCTTTGCAGCTGGTCGACTACAGACCTGCGCACTCAGGGCTACGTGTCCATCGACAGCGTGGGTAGCAAGGAGATACAGATGTGCACCAGCTTGAGGCAGAGTACCTTGGAAGCTAAAGGCGGAGTTATCGGTGGCCAGGTGGTCATTGAACAACTTGGTGGCACATGTAAGGGATTTACAGTCATTGGATTTTCAAAGAAGAATTTGGATAAGAGGTTCATTTTTATTTCATTGATTAAGGCCAGGTCAATTCAAATCATTGAATAAGGGAATATTTGATCTTCCATTCAACTGAATATTTGACTATTTAATCAAAGACCCAAATCCTGTAAAAGCAGAAATGGAATGTGCATGTTTGTGTGGCGGTCTACCTCACTGAGATTTGGGACGGGGGTCTATTCCCTAGTTAAAAGCAGAAGCTGGGAGCCCAACTGATGTTCAGTCCTAACTGGTTATGTAGTCTCTTAGTTTAAAATTGACTTTCCCCTTGATTTAATTGATTTTTTAGCCCCAAATATTGAACATTGTTAATTAAATGTAAAAATATTCAATGATTAATCAAATTGTTTAATCAAATATTTGCATATTCAGTAGAGTCCTATCTCTTTTTTTGTCCTTGAAGAAAGGACAAGTGCATAAGCTAAAAATGAAATTGTGAGGAGATGAATTGTTTTCACGTCGTAACAGATCCACTTATTTTCGTTGTCTGTACTTGTGTTTGCCTCAGCGAGTCACTCCCAGCAACCATCCCATGCCCCTAGCCACAAGCTTGGGGCCGGCCTGGGCCTTATGACAGTCCGTATTGACTACATGGGCTCCAGCATCATCATGCAGAGATTGGATAAAGTCCAGGTCCAACTGAGCGATGAGTGGAAACTGGCTGATATGACGGGGGCCAACACCAGCCATAGCAGGTGGGCACCTTCCCCTAAGAAGCGTCCTACCCTATCCTACCCCACTCTAACCTACCCTCCCTTACCCACACCTTTTGCCACCTCACCCCAACCCCTCCCAACCACTTCTCAATATTGCTGCAGCTGACACCCACCCATGGCAAGGAGGCACCTTTCTCTAACACCCATTGTACCTCACCCCACCCTACTCCACACTACCCCCACGCTACCATTCCACAGTGCTGCAGCTGACACCCACCCATGGCTGGTAGGCACCTTTCTCTAACACCCATTGTACCTCACCCCACCCTAGTCCACACTACCCCCACCCTACCATTCCACAGTGCTGCAGCTGTTCTACCCCACCCTCACCTTAACCCGTACCTCACTTCACCCCCACCTATCACTCCCCTCCCACCCCCACACCTAACACAATGCCACTCCTACCACCTGACCTTAACAGCAATGAAGGTCATACCTCCCCATCCAAACCTCAACCCACGCCATCCTAAAAAAAACAACAACCCACTTTAGATTTGCATTATGCAGAGCTCACAACAGTAATACACAAAGGCTGCCGTGTACTAAATCTTAAAGTATCCGATCAGTTATTAATAATTATTCTAGTTGATTTCAATTCTCTGAAGCAAAGGACAAACTCTCTCCATACCAAAGTTGTGCTTCTCCTGCTACTGACTGATCCTATTTGTAAGAATGTGTTGTCAATTNAACCACTTCATGCCGGGGCATTTTTCAATGTTGATGATGCTGGGCCGGCATGACTATCATTTTTTCCTTTTTCAAAATCTTTCAAAAATTCATCATTTCATTTAACGGTCGTTTATAGCCATACAGAGTAATCTTCAGGCACTACTCTAAGTTGACAGGTGACCTTCATAGACGCCCGAATATTTCAGCCAGGCCTGCAGCCTTGTAAACAGAGCCCAGATTGTGCGGTGTTGTATAGCTGTCTTTTGTTCACGAACCTGGCTCAGTGCACTGCTGACCTCTTTTCAATAGTGGCCAGATTAGCGTGCAGCGGTGCTGTGTGGCTCATCGCTGTGGTGGTGGAGTGTTTTTTTTGTCCCCGGTGGTAATCCGCTTGCTCTCAATGCCCCAAACCCAGGTATATGGTTTCAAAAGAAGGCTGGATTATCACCACTTTTGAGAGTGAAAAATGTCGGTAATGTTGGTCTTTTGTTACAGGGCCCTGTTTTCTTTTGTCCGAGTTCGGAAACCTCAGCCACGCATATAAACCATACGTCTCCGATTCCGGAGTCCCCGGCAGGAAGTGGTTAAGATGAGCAACTACTTCAAAGAGCAGAAGATGAAGTTTTGTACATCATCATGCGGTTCAATTGCTTTGTTGACCAAGTGTTTTCGACCTGTTTGCGTTGAATATTTGAGAAAATGAAAATGTAAAACTCTTTTGAGTATTGAGTTATTCCACTTTGCTCAGTCTATTCGGGGAGTAGAATTCAGCTTATCGGCTGATGTCAGCTTTTGTTTGGATCTTTACTCTGGATTTCACCCATTTTCAACACCTGCTCTGTACAGATCTATGGGACTGTTTTTGCATATTTTTTGCTTGCTGTTTTAACCACTTTGTGCCGGGGCATTTTTCAACGTTGATGGTGCTGGGCCGGCATGACTATCATTTTTTCCTTTTTCAAAATCCTTTAAAAATTCATCATTCCATTTAACGGTCGTTTATAGCCGCACGAAGTAATCTTTAGGCACTACTCTAAGTTGACAGATGACCTTCATTGACGCCCGAGTATTTCAGCCAGGCCTGCAGCCTTGTAAACAGAGCCCAGATTGTGCGGTGTTGTATAGCTGTCTTTTGTTCACGAACCTGGCTCAGTGCACTGCTGACCTCTTTTCAATAGGGGCCAGATTAGCGTGCAGCGGTGCTGTGTGGCTCATCGCTGCGGTGGTGGAGTGTTTTTGTCCCCGGTGGTAATCCGCTTGCTCTCAATGCCCCAGACCCTGGTATATGGNAAAGATAAGCAACTACTTCAAAGAGCAGAAGATGAAGTTTTGTACATCATCATGCGGTTCAATTGCTTTATTGACCAAGTGTTTTCGACCAGTTTGCGTTGAATATTTGAGAAAATGAAAATGTAAAACTCTTTTGAGTATTGAGTTATTCCACTTTGCTCAGTCTATTCGGGGAGTAGAATTCAGCTTATCGACTGATCTCAGCTTTCGTTTGGATCTTAACTCTGAATTTCACCCATTTTCAACACCTGCTCTGTACAGATCTATGGGACTGTTTTTAGGGTCATGCATATTTTTTGCTTGCTGCTTTAAGGTTGTTTGTATGCCTGCACTCAGAATAGGTACATTTGTTTTCTTTGCTTTCCTGTGCTCTTGACAGGTCGTCGTCGGTCTACCTGGACGGTCAGCTGGAGTGGGACACCTTCCAGCTCATGCTGTCGCGCTCCAGCACCCCGGACCTGATCAAGATGACCGGCCGGCTGGAGGAGTTCTTCAGCCAGCAGTTCCAGAGCAGCAAGCGCATGCTGGCCTCCTGGCAGCTTGGGGGGTCCAGCGGCGTGTCCAGCCAGCCGTCCAGCGAGGGGACGCGGACGGGCAGCGAGAGCAGCAGCACGCGCAGTCTGGAGCGGCTTACCATGCAGGGTGAGCAGGGAACTTTTCTCTCCGTCCTCCTGCTATCTCAACGGTCAATTTCTTACTATTGTGCTCGTTTGAGATGCAGAATATCAAGGTGTGCGGCCCTGTTAAAAATGCATCAGAGTTTGTACAGGTTTCCATGTGATGGCTCAAACAGCCAGGGCGCAGAATTCTCCTATTTTTCGTAAGGAAAGAAAACTCTCTTAAAGAGGAAATTTAGAATGACCAAACAGAGACAGAAATTTTTATTATTTTTGAAATGTGCCCATACCTGCCAACATTGCGAAGTCAGAATTTGGGAAACCCATTTACCGAGTCCATATCAAAACAAACAGCCAGGCGAGAGAAGCATTTACTGTAACGTGTACGTGTGTGCATGTGTAAAAACTTCCATTTTGACATCTACAAATAGCACCCCCTTTTTGCAAATAATGCCCTCTTGTTTTGCAAAGTGCCCTCTTTACCCAGGACTTTTTTATTTAACACATTTTGTCTTTTTATGGAAATTGGAATGTTCCGATTTTGCAGTCTGAAAACTTGGAAACTGGGACAGTTCTGATTAAATCAGGACAGTTGGCAGGCACACCCTCCATTAGTTCACCATACCCCCCAAATGTACATGCCGTAGGTTTTTGTTCAGACAAACGGCCCCACGTCGTAAGCATAAAAGTACTCAGGACTAGGCCTTTTTTAAACATTGCAATAGGAGATTACTATAATTATGAACCAAATGATGTTTGAGCACCTGCTTGTCGAGTTCCTGACGTTATGCAGAAATTGAAGAAGAAATTTGTAAGTACAGTTGGATACACCTGAGGAGATTATAAACTTGAAAAGTCTATACGAGAAGGTGCATGTGTTTGCAAATTGCCAGTGCTTTTAAAAAGAGTTTCAATACTGTTCCCCAGCTGAGAGGAACTACCATCGCCACTGGCAACCGGCCTTTGCCCTCCTGCGCAGCTGCCGCTCCAACAGCAAGCTCCTGCCACCGCAGTGGCACGCCGGCAACCTGACGCTGGGCGGCCACGTCCTGCTGAGCGGCCAGCGCACCTTGCTGGCCTGCTTCCATGGTATCAACTTCCGGGCCAGTTCCTGGGCTCTTTTCACCTTGCAGGAGCCCCAGCTGCACTTTGAGACTGAGGCCGTCCCCATCAGGCCCAGCAAGAGCGATGGTATGGCCACCGTTCACCCTTCATTTTATTTATGATTTTAGTGTTGCTCATCAAACAACACAAAACAAGGATAGCAACACAGATCAACGCAGGATACATGACTGCGCATTCTTTGTTACAATTTAGTTTCTTCCAGTGTGGCCAGTGGAGGCCACGGCCTCCCCTCCCCCCAAAAGTTGCCATATTGTGTCTTTGAAAGGTGATTTTTTTTTTATCTATTTCTTTCCCATCCTTCCAAGCGTGTACAAACCCCCAGAAACGTGTAGCCTCATCCCTCAGAAAGGACATAACAGATTACGTGAAAAACTTTCATTCATTTTTTGGCCACCCTCTGCAACAAGTTTGCGCCCCTTTCCCCCAAATAAATTTGGTTCTGGATCCACCTTGGGTCAGTACTATAACGTCAAACAATAATTTGGCGAGCGTTGAAAAAATCTCATACAGCTGTCGTGTCACGAAATAATTGATTGCAGGCCAAGATGGAACCAACATCATCGAGGACCTGGTCTTCAACCTAGGCCACAATCAGACAGAGAGGGGTGAAGGGTCAATGGGAGTCATCTACCGGGTCACCCGTACCGAGCGTCACCACTTCCCTACCAATGGAACCATCGATCAGTGTTTCCACTACGTCTGTGCTATCAAAGCTCCCGAAGGTAAAGCCTGGAGATGTGTCCTCATATCATGTGATGGGACGGACCTGTCCTTATGCAGATACAAGTTGATACAAGTACATAAAAAAGTCCTTGTACAAATATATACATGAATATACGAGTACAAGTCCTCATACATGAAAATAGGTCCTCATACGTGGTTATGAGGACAGGCAGTAGCCTCAAAATTCCTCAAGTATATGGGTCATGATGGTTTAAATGAGTTTACCCTGTTAATCATGGAAAGCATTTGTTTTTCTCAAAACAGCAAAAGCTATGAGTTAATGCGGCATTAAAATTTCATGGAAAATTTGTAAAGTTTTCAGAGAAAAAGCAAAGTTACCTACTGTGTGCAAAGCTAATTGGTGATTTTGCACCCACCAGAAGGACCTACATGCACATGTTTGCAAACATGCTGGTTTGTTGCTTTACATCCGTAGTAAATGCAGACCCATCAAAGGCCACCTTTTGCGACTTTCTACCCCAGTAGCCCAAATATTTCGTATAATGATTGTTTTCACATACCCTGGGGCTTGATGTTAGATACATGTACACGTACCCTCTTGACTTCTAGACTTGATCCAAGTTGTGTTCCAATCTCCGGATTTATTTTTCCCTAGATTTTGAGCATGTTCTGACTTCCAGCAGCATGCCGGTCTACAGTAGCAAGGAGACCTTCAGGCACACAGCTGAGCCCATCTTTGCTTTACCCAAGCTACAGCTGGAGATGAAGTCTAACCACATGCAGTCCACGCACAGCCCGGCCCTCAATGGTAAAGTCTTTCTGCAGCTGTTACCAGTGTTGTAGTCTTGTTCTCAAGTCACTAAATTGCCTTACCAGTTCATTTAATGTGTACCACATGGGTCATAGGTTGGTGTATTTTTTTTACTGTTCTAGCCAATAAATTTTAGAAAGTGCTGTTATTTAAGTTCATGGAAAATGGGACTTCCTTTTGCAGGATGCAAGCTTTCATGCGTTCACCTTCTGTAGATCGTGATGTTCAGCAGATGGCTAAAGGGCCGTCTACATGTACATGTTCCATCCTTGTCACAGGTTCAAGTGTAGAAAAGAAGCGTACGTCATCACAGAAGAAAAACTTCAAAAGAATTCTTCCAAAGCCGCTGGCGCTTAATACTGAAGTTAACGAAAATGGTACCGATGGCTTTTGTCCTTTTCTAGGGCCACCCCAAGCTGTAACAGTCAGCTTTGTCACCCATTTCACCGATCACATCAACGTAGCCATGGACATCGAGCTCATTCTCTTCCTTCATGCATTTGTCACGGCCTACATCAGCTACAAAGACAAAGGTAGGACCTCCGGAACGCCTCCTTGACTATTATGCCACTTCACTACCCCGAAAGTCACTTTGCTTGTCAACCGGTAGTTTGGTGATTTCTGGGCAGTTTCATTGGTGAATGGGGGGGAAGGGGGAGTTAATGAGCACAGAGTGGAGACCATTTCATGTGTCTTCTTCCCAGAGGGTGTAAAAGCTCCCCCAATTAAATGTAAAATCTTGCACCTAAGAAAATTCCTTAAAGAAATCATCAGATCCCCCCCAAAAAACTTGTCCCTCAAAAATTGGTTCTGGATACTTCCTTGGTTTGCCATTTTCATGGACGTCTGTGTTGAATCCAGAGGTCCTATGCACCAAATTCAGATTTATGTAAATGAAAATAACCAAGTATAGTTTCACAACACACATCAGGCTGGGCAAAAATCCAACATAAATTAACATCTCCCCAGCGCAAATCCACCCTTGGAAAATAACTTTATCACTTTTCCCTGAATGATCAATAATTTGCCTAATGAAGTTTGCGGAGAAAGTATATTCATAGCCTCTGACCTGGTTTTGCAGCCACCCAGTCCCACCGCAACTCGGTGTCCAGCAGGCCAACTATGAAAGCCTCGACGGAACAGGACATCCTGTCGTTGCCGGAACCCGCCAGCACGGCTACCAGTGAGGTCACGCCCTCCAGTGGGGCCAGTGATTGGAGGGAGTTCCAATGCATCACCTGGCAGTTGGAGCCCACCATCAGGTAGGTGGCGACTCCACTTTTCCGCGTTTTGAAAAAAAAAAACCTGTTGTGGGTCAAGTCCATTGTAAGTCCCTACAAGTCCATCACAAGACCTCCAGTCTGTCTTTATTAAGTCACAAGCTATTCAAATGAACTGCAACAAAATATTCCTTTGTCACTGTTCATCCTGCTACTTGTGGTTGGTCTTGCAAAGAGACTCGTGATGGGCTTGACTGCGGTACTGGGAAAAACATTCAGGAGATTTGATGTATGCACCTTAATCTTTAAGTAGAGGATACCTCAGTTTTAAATTTGACTTCCCTCACATCCTGTTAAATCTTTATACGAAGGGTACTTCAACAGCTATGAAACAATTTTTCTGTAGACCAAGTCCTTAAAGTTTCAAGTCTCTTTAATTCATATTTTCCTTTTGTTTATTCAGTCCTTTTATAACTCTATTGTGTCACGTTATTGGCTAGCCCTAGCAACTGGTAGTATATAATTGCTTCCAAACTACAAACTTAAAACTGGTTCACTTCAAAACAGTGTACTGCTTTTTCTTTAAAACTTTTTGACATTTTCTAGGATCTTTTTAATGAATCTTAATATCTCATGAAAGGATTCTCGTTCATACAATACAAAGTCCAAGTATGCATGGCAAGTTTTCATTTCAATGTGCACAAAAGCCTGTGGTATTTTCATATTGAGTTAAAGATTTTCAACAGCAATTGGCAATGGCATCCAAGTGTCTGTCACTTTTATTGAGGTCACTGTTGAGGATGTACTGGTACTCTGAATCTATACCCCTAAGTTGGGTCTTAGGAATGTCTTATTGGCCCACCGAGCACGGATAGTTGAAAGCGTGGTGGTTTAATGACGTTTGTTTGCTTTCCACCAGGCTGTTGTCGTGGGGAGGCAAGCAGATCGAGCCCATCGGGGTGGACTACATCCTACAGAAGCTTGGGTTCTCCCATGCCCGGGTCACCATCCCCAAGTGGATGCAGCGGGGGGCCATGGACCCACTGGACAAGACGCTGGCCTTGCTCATGGAGAAGCTCATTCAGTACATCAAGGAGAACGACTGAGACGGCAAGCTAGCGATTTGGGCCCAGTGTCGAGGAAGAAACACGACACTCGGTAGGTGGGAACCAGTTTAAAAAAATAATGCATTATACATCACATTTTTGCCTGGTAACCCCTTTGTCTTAGCGTTGTCATGTTTGTGTTCAGCAGAGTTGTCTACAATGAAGTATCTCTGTTGAGTTTTCCCCAAGCCAATTTTGCACGGCGGAGGAAAAAAAAAAGGCAGGCCACTTAGTGGTACGATACAGGTAGTTTTCTCTGCCGGTTTTGATATCCCCCCCCCCCCCCCGCATTTTGAAACCTGTAGACACTATGAGTACAGCTTTTTATTTGCCTGTCCACGTAGACTTTTTCCTGAGCAAACGGCTTCAGGAAACGTCCTGGGAATTTTCAGTGGCCCAGGCCAACTTGTAGTTTTTGAGAAGATGCTGAAAAAAGTTCAAATCGGTTTCTCTTTTTTATAAATACGATCACCACAAATCACTGCTACGAGGCTGAATTTCTTTGAAGAACTCAGTGACAGTAGAAATCTACATGAGCACATGCAGACACACCGACTCAGTAAGGTGAAAAGCAGTGTTTCTGCAATACCGGCAGTTACCTTTGAACTATCTCGTGACTGAGCATTTCCATGAAATGAGCTAGTGATCTCTGTGTGGAATAGTCGAAAGATTGTCAGCGATGAAATGGGGAGTAGGCACACGTTTTGTAGTTGTACTGAAATTTGAGTAACTTTTGTTGTTGCTTTGGCGACATTTTCCTTGTTAGAAATTAGATTTTTTTGAAAAGCATTTTATAGTTTCACTTGCTTGGTACTGTTAACAGAGGGGGCAAGAATCGGAGAAATAATACTGCCAAATTGTGAGGATTTCCCCCCCCCCAAAAAAAGTTGCCACAGGTAAAACAAATCAAGTATTGTGTACCAACTGATATGTAGAAATTATGTACTCGTTCATTGAGGTTCCCTTTTTGTACATAATATGTACTGATCACTCTGTAAATTTGCAAGCCTGTAAAGTAACCAATTATAGGGCATTTTGAAAATAAGGAGTAAAAAACAAATTTTTTTTTTCCTATTAATTTTTTTGTTTGGGGTTTTCTAAGAATTTTTTTATTTGGTTTTGTTGTAAAGGATGAGTTTTTTAAATCGGACATCTTAATGGCGGAAGTGACTTCTGGTATACATTTTTTCTCAGGTTTTTAATTTGTGATTGTGGTCAATTTCTCGTTTGGAATGTTAGGTTTGCAGCAAGGATTTTCCTTTGCCTATGACTCAAGCTGTTCAGAAGGCATACATGGAAGTTACTTTTTTTTTTAAGTACTACTGGAGCAATGACGCGGAATACTTTTGGTAGAAATTTTTATACATTTTCTCCTATTTTGCACCTTGATGAAGTGAAACAAGATGAGGGTTGTGAAAACATCAGTTTAAAAAGAAATCAACAATTTGGTAGAGGAATAAGCTTTTTACAAGTTAAATTTAAATTAAGTGTAGTTCACCAAGTTCTTTAAATTCACACGAACATAATTTAAATTTGCCACACTAGTCTGGATACCAGACTCGACGACTCCGACTATCCTTGTCAAATCCAAGGGTCCAGTTTCCGAAAAACAGCTGAAATATTCAGAACTCATCCTGTTCATATTTGGTATTTATGGCCGTGTCTGTACGCATAATGGGATTTATATACATGTACATGTATATATTTTTACTTTTGCTTGCTGCCCACATGCAACACAATGTTACTTCCTTCCTATGCATTTTGTCTCGCATGTTTTCAAACTGACCATCTACATTAACGGCCTGTATGTACATCTGAGCATAGGATCCACCCAGAGCTTTCCTTGTGACCCTTGACATGCTGCGTCATGATCTACTTACATGTATATACGTGGGTGATACTCAACCAAGTGTTGATCAAGGTTGTTAGGGGAACCAGACTATTACTATACCTTGCGATTTGGGGCAAGCGTTTCCTTAGTTACATAAGAGAGGCCTTGCACCAGGACAGTTTTCAGTGGATATTAGATGGCATGGAGGAACCAGTCCGTTTAAGAGATGGTGGTCGCTATCCAAACGCTTGCCCCGAATCACAAAATATTTTCTTTAGTCTGAGGAGTTCAAATTGCTATGTTTCAGTGCAATCAGATATGTATGTACTGAACTCTCTGATTTTACTCTAATTTCACTCGCAAACGGCTTATTGCTCCAGTGTCCCATAGTCTACTGTAAACATGTACAGTGATGAACCCTCCTGTTTTAACCGTCAGAAATGCCTTCCACTTGATTTCCCCCAGTACACAGACACATATGGGAAATTTGACTGATTTTGACTGATATGACAACCGTTCCAAGAGTGTATCTTAGCATAGAAGGGTTAATGATCTTGCTAGACATAAGTGACAATGTAAAGTACGGACACAGTACAGTACCAACTACAATACTTCTGAAAACAAGTAGAGTACTATTAAGGATGCTATTTATGGATATCATATGTCAAAGGCCAATTACATAATTACTTTTTTTTTTGTGGTGTACTCTTGTATAAATGAAGGGCTTGTTTTTGTACCAACCTTGTTAAATTGTTTGGACGACACGAGTGGTCGTTATTCTGTGGTGATCGGCATTTTTCTTTGAAGTCCGAATCGGTTTTGTTTGACACTGCCCACGTGCCATTCTTGTGTCTAGAGGTACATGTAGGTGAAGATTGTCACCAATTGCACAAATGAGCCCGCGCACTGAAAGCACACACGGCCATGCCACGCGGCATGGCTTTTACAAACCAAAGATACAGATCAGTGTGCTCTGGAAAGTGTCGAACAAAAAAGATGCCTCGTAACACCTCACTTGGTGCCTTTGCTCAGCCTTCTGAAGGTGCAAAAAAAGGAACAAACCAAACAAGTTTGAGAAAATAGACGATACACTTGAAAGTTTGTCCTGGAATTGTTGACACCAATGACAATACTTGAAACTGACGCCGAGTTGGTTAACCTGGCGAGCAAAAACTGTAGAGATGGTTACTTTGGTGAGCAACGTGTAATAAATAATTTATACTTATACTGAAAAATTTGAATTCTGGTTTTGGCCTTGTGACGTGTTTCCGAGTCCGTGTATGAAGTTTGTCTAGACCTGGTGGTCCTCGATTGATCAGTCTAAAAAATGCATTCAAAAAGAAGTAAATTGTGTATATCTGAAAGTCGGCTGGGCTCATTTTATTTGTGTACAATTTGGATCAACAGTAATCACCAACGACATACATACATACATACCTGGCTGGTAAAACAAAAGTTTTGGGCCATCTTTTGCAAAATTGAACAAGCAGTTGCCGACTGTGCCGACTTACAACCAGCAGTTACATGTACGTGGAACCCTATGTGTTACATATTAGCAAGACCTGCTGTGGAAGTGTGGGTCTAGCATCTTACAAGTTTACACTTTATCAGTCACGTACACACATTCAACTACCTCACTACTCGAACTAAAAGCTATACAAACAAAAGAAATTCCCCTTAAAAAAAATGCTTACCGTGAAGATCGTGAAAGCGAGGATGACATACCGGATCAGAAGTACTTTTTCAAGAAAGCATCAATTCACAGGTATTTTTGACAAAGGTACCAAAGTAGTGATTTTGTATTGGCCCGTTTACATGTACCTGAATACACAAATTTGTGATGTCAGAGCAAACAATTCGTGCTGCGAATTCACACAAGTCGAATGCACTCCAACTCAAATTTTGCTGCAAATATTCCGTGACATCAAGTTCAAGCCTGAAGTGTGATCTAGCAAAAGGGGCATGCTATTGGATTAAGATCACAGACTTCTGATCGCATTACCAAACTCCCATGCTGTATACGTTTCCCCTCTACACATAGTTTTTTTCCCTTCCCCCACCCCTTGGGCAGGAAAACAAAACAAAAAAGACTACTTGAACAGTAAGAATTTTATCTACAAGTTGCATACACAATTTTGCATTGCATTCCTTTTGAGTCTCCTTAAAACCCCAATCTCAAAGCAGACAGACGCAGCCGATCAATAAAGGGCTGCAACAGAAACTGTACTTGTGCATCCCTGTGCAACCTACAGTAGACACACCCATCTTAGCTCAAACAGGGAAGGCTAGAACTGGCAATGCGCCATGGTAGCACACTCTACCGGTACTTGGCCTTACAGCAAACCACTGACCCTGTTATGCTGCATAGGTGACTCTGGATGTGCGTTCACCGACATTATGAGGGCCCCCAGTCATGGCGGCTGCACTGTGCCCGCTACTGTGCAATACAATCAGCTC